ACTGTAAGAACTTTGACTCCATGGCGATTGAACTATGTGTGTGGGATCTGAGCGCTATTCGCTAATAATATGCACTCAGATCCAGGCTATCTGGGGATGTGTGATACGAATGGGAAATGTTCGGTTATTTTAAAGTTATATATTGTGGCGAAACCGGCCTCGCCACGTGTCCTTGGAGGGGGCTGCTTGCCCGCCTCTTGCCTTTGGACTATGGACCAGACTTTATGTGAAGTTATTAACCCAGATAGCTATGCCATGGAGCCCATTCGTGTAGTTAAAGACTTCGGCTCCATGGCAATTGAACTGTGTGAATAGGATCTGAGCGCTATTCGGTAGTTTTGTGCGCTCAGATCCCAGCTATCTGAGGATATGTGACATGTCTGTGTTTTATGTATAAAATGTGACTTTGTGTATTTTATAATATTTTAATGCTTTGTGCTCACCATGTGCATAATGGAGTCTTGTGTCTGTCCTGGGAGATAATTGAATTACTTCTCAGTTAAATCTCCAGGATAGAAGACTCTGAAACTGGTTTGGGCCGGAAAGCCATGCTTCATTTAGTCACAAAGGACTTTCCCTTAACCTTTGAACCCCTGGTCTGATTCGTGCCATTTTTTAATATGTTGTTCCCCTGAATGGATTGATTATGAAAATGTATGTTTTATGTTTGTGACATGTATATTTTAGAAGTTAGAAATATTGTGTAAAAACTGTATTCCTCTGCCGGTGATAATGAGATTACCCATTGTGTTCAGTAATCATATCACCTGCAGAGGGGAGAATTTTGTGTGGGAGTGTCTGGGTGTATTGTACGGATTGATTGGTTGTTTTGTAACGCCCTGTGGGCTGTACTATGTTTGTGGATTGGGAATAAAAGAGACTGTATGTGACAGTACAGGGAGTTCCTGCTTAACCCTCAAAGTGAAGTGTCGTCTCATTATTGGGGGAAGGATTTATTGTATGCTGTTCCAGTTTGACTGCTAGGAGAGTAAACCTATTCGTATGGTTCCTATTCAACTGTCTGCAGCATTCATATGCTTGAGAGGATTCATATGCTTCTCCGGTTCGGTGGTTGTGGTGTCTACTGCAGTGCTTGGAGTCCTCAGGAAGCGCTAGGAGCATCCTTCAGCGAGGAGGTGATGCCAGTGTCGAGAGGGGTGCCAAGGTGATCCGTTACACAGTGTGTCTATGCGGGGAGGGAGGCACAGTGTATCTATGCGAGGAGAACACAGTGTATCTATACCGGGAGAACACAGTGTGTCTATACCTGGAGCGCACAGTGTGTCTATACCGGGAGCGCACAGTGTGTCTATACCGGGAGCACACAGTGTGTCTATACCGGGAGCACACAGTGTGTCTATACCGGGAGCACACAGTGTGTCTATACCGGGAGAACACAGTGTGTCTATACCGGGAGAACACAGTGTGTCTATACCGGGAGCACACAGTGTGTCTATACCGGGAGAACACAGTGTGTCTATACCGGGAGAACACAGTGTGTCTATACCGGGAGAACACAGTGTGTCTATACCTGGAGCGCACAGTGTGTCTATACCGGGAGCTCACAGTGTATCTAAACCGGGAGCGCACAGTGTGTCTAAACCGGGAGCGCACAGTGTGTCTAAACCGGGAGCACACAGTGTGTCTAAACCGGGAGCACACAAAGAAACATAGAAACATAGAAACATAAAATGTGACAGTAGATAAGAACCAGTCAGCCCATCTAGTCTGCAAAATTTTCTAAATACTTTCATTAGTCCCTAGCCTTATCTTATAGTTAGGATAGCCTTATGCCTATCCCACGCATGTTTAAACTCCTTTACAGTGTTTCTATACCAGGAGCACACAGCGTGTCCATACCGAGAGAACACAGCGTGTCCATCCCGAGAGCACACAGTGTGTCTAAACCGGGAGCACATAGTGTATCTACAGGCACAGAGGGTGTCTATACTAGGAGCGCACAGCGTGTCTGTACCAGGAGCGCACAGCGTGTCTATACCGGGAGCACACAGTGTGTCTGTACCGGGAGCACACAGTGTGTCTGTACCGGGAGCACACAGTGTGTCTGTACCGGGAGCACACCGTGTGTCTAAACCGGGAGTACACAGTTTGTCTATACCGGGAGTACACAGTTTGTCTATACTGGAAGCACATAGTGTTTCTATACCGGGAGCGCACAGTGTGTCTAAACCGGGAGCACACAGTGTGTTTGTACTGGGAGCACACAGTGTGTCTGAACCGGAAGAACACAGTGTGTCTATACCGGGAGAACACAGTGTGTCTATACCGGGAGCACACAGTGTGTCTATACCGGGAGCGCACAGTGTGTCTATACCGGGAGCACACAGTGTATCTATACCGGGAGAACACAGTGTATCTATACCGGGAGAACACAGTGTGTCTATACCTGGAGCGCACAGTGTGTCTATACCGGGAGCGCACAGTGTGTCTATACCGGGAGAACACAGTGTGTCTATACCGGGAGCACACAGTGTGTCTATACCGGGAGAACACAGTGTGTCTATACCGGGAGAACACAGTGTGTCTATACCGGGAGAACACAGTGTGTCTATACCTGGAGCGCACAGTGTGTCTATACCGGGAGCACACAGTGTATCTAAACCGGGAGCGCACAGTGTGTCTAAACCGGGAGCGCACAGTGTGTCTAAACCGGGAGCGCACAGTGTGTCTAAACCGGGAGCACACAAAGAAACATAGAAACATAAAATGTGACAGTAGATAAGAACCAGTCAGCCCATCTAGTCTGCAAAATTTTCTAAATACTTTCATTAGTCCCTAGCCTTATCTTATAGTTAGGATAGCCTTATGCCTATCCCACGCATGTTTAAACTCCTTTACACTGTTTCTATACCAGGAGCACACAGCGTGTCCATACCGAGAGAACACAGCGTGTCCATCCCGAGAGCACACAGTGTGTCTAAACCGGGAGCACATAGTGTATCTACAGGCACAGAGGGTGTCTATACTAGGAGCGCACAGCGTGTCTGTACCAGGAGCGCACAGCATGTCTATACCGGGAGCACACAGTGTGTCTGTACCGGGAGAACACAGCGTGTCTATACCGGGAGTACACAGTTTTTCTATACTGGAAGCACATAGTGTTTCTATACCGGGAGCGCACAGTGTGTCTAAACCGGGAGCACACAGTGTGTTTGTACTGGCAGCACACAGTGTGTCTGAACCGGGAGCACACAGTGTGTCTAAACTGGGAGCACACAGTGTGTCTAAACCGGGAGCGCACAGGGTGTCTAAACCGGGAGCACACAGTGTGTCTAAACCAGGTGCACATAGTGTATCTACAGGCACAGAGGGTGTCTATACTGGGAGCGCACAGCATGTCTGTACTGGGAGCGCACAGCGTGTCTATACCGGGAGCACACAGTGTGTCTGAACCGGGAGCACGCAGTGTGTCTGAACCGGGAGCACACAGTGTGTCTGTACCGGGAGCACACAGTGTGTCTGTACCGGGAGCACACAGTGTGTCTGAACCGGGAGCACACAGTGTGTCTAAACTGGGAGCACACAATGTGTCTAAACCGGGAGTGCACAGTGGGTCTAAACCGGGAGTGCACAGTGTGTCTAAACCGGGAGCACACAGTGTGGCAAACCCTGCCACTTGAACTAATCATTCTATGCGAATGGGGGAATTTCACCAAGTGAATAACTACACGAATTGACTTTAATGTTATTTTACTGTTTTTATGCGAATGCCCGAAACTACCGAACGGGAGACCACCCCGGGGTGGTCGTGTGTTTCCAATTATCTGAGCGATACAATGTTGGGAAGGGAATTAAGTACCTGTATGTGTGGCCGCCATTTAGCCTACCGAACACGTGGCGGTGGCCATCTTACGCACGAACAGCGGTACTTGGTTGTCGAACGCCTGGAACTCAAACCGGGCATTCGACTAACCAAGCACCGCTAAGACCTCCAGCATGCTCCGACAGCACGAATCAAACACACGAACGCCCCGGCGTTCGGTAGATAGATTCATACTAAATGAGGGGATTCATACGAATGCTAGCAGTCGCATGGATGGCTAAGCTGTTCGGGATTTTTGATTCACTAAAATAGACCGACCGCAGGGCCAGAATTCATGGAACTGTTTTCGGCTACTGAGTCCCTGCGGTCGGTCAAATCTTTAACTGTCTGTAACTCCCGAACCCCTGGTCCGATCTGGGTGAATTTCGAGTATGTTGCTCACCCAGATCAGACCTACCAGGGGACCCCTTTGTCCCTGTACCCCCTGTATTTAGGGGGCATCCAGAAAGTGGGGAAAACTCTGTCCCCACTAATCTGTTTAAGTGCTAATCTAAGGGGAGGAGAGGGAGGGGAGGTGACCGTGTTACAATTGGCTACTGTAATAATTATGAAAGTTACCTCCCTTGCATGGGAGAAATGCATAAAAGCAGACCTGTGAATAAAGCTGGCAGTTGACTCCCAGACTATGTGTCGTCTAGTCCTTGGGGAGGTGGATTATGCTGTGTTCCTGTGACTTTGTATGCTGAATCTTTGTTCCCAGCAGAGAGCTATTGGATTAACCCCTGCCCCTCCGCTACACACAGTGTGTCTAAACCAGGTGCACATAGTGTATCTACAGGCACAGAGGGTGTCTATACCGGGAGCGCACAGTGTGTCTAAACCGGGAGCGCACAGTGTGTCTAAACCGGGAGCGCACAGTGTGTCTGTACCGGGAGCGCACAGTGTGTTTGTACCGGGAGCGCACAGTGTGTTTGTACCGGGAGCACACAGTGTGTTTGTACCGGGAGCACACAGTATATCTATACCGGGAGCGCACAGTGTGTAAATACCGGGAGTACAGAGTGTGTTTGTACCGGGAGCACACAGGGTGTCGGTACTGGGAGCACACAGTGTATCTATACCGGGAGCGCACAGTGTGTCTATACCGGGAGTGCACAGTGTATCTATACCGGGAGCGCACAGTGTGTTTGTACCAGGAGTGCACAGAGTGTTTATACCGGGAGTGCACAGCGTGTCTGTATCGGGAGTGCACAGTGTGTAAATACCGGGAGCGCAGAGTGTGGATGTATCGGGAGCACACAGGGTGTCTATACCGGGAGCACACAGTGTGAATATAGCGGGAGCTCACAGTGTGTTTATACCGGGAGCACAGAGTGTGGATGTACCGGGAGCTCACAGCGTCTCAGTACCGGGAGGGCACAGCTTGTCTGTATCGGGAGTGCACAGTGTGTCTATACCGGGAGCACACAGGGTGTCTAAACCAGGAGCACAGAGTGTGGATGTACCGGGAGCGCACAGCGTGTCTGTACCGGGAACACACAGTGTGTATATAGCGGGAGCACACAGTGTGTATATAGCGGGAGCACACAGTGTGTATATAGCGGGAACACACAGTGTATCTAAACTGGGAGTACAGAGTGTGGATGTACCGGGAGCACACAGGGTGTCTATACCGGGAGCACACAGTGTGTATATAGTGGGAGCGCAGAAAGCTGTATTAATGAAACATACCTGTTGTATTAAACCCACCTGCTGTATTTGTGTATTTAACCCTTTGTCCTCTGTCCCCCAGGATTGCAAGAACATCTTCTTTCCATGTTTCTCTTACAGCTGGGAATGGAAGCTGATGCAGACAAACCATGCTGATCACCTTTTCATTTTTTACCAGCATCATCCTGTGCAGTGACCTAGTGGGAGACAGAACAGGTAATATAGTAGTGGATACACAGCACTGCCTCCTGGTGGTGGCACTGGGGAAAACACATTTAATCTGATGGTTCTGCATTCCATATAATATAAATTAGGATCTAACTAACATAGGCCTTGATTTAATATTGTTAGATAAATGTATAAAATGAGTTAATACTTTGAAAAATATTTTTATATTTTTAGATACATTTGTGGCACCCCTCACCCCCTGTTAGGAAGAGGGGTTTCGCCGCCAGAGATGTTCTTATCCCCCCAGTGTGAGTGATGCTGTAGTAATTTCCCGATAGCAGTAATACAATGCTAGTAGAGCAGGTATAGCTCTTACCAGAGCAAGCGATTATAGCGATCCGAAGAGCAGAGATATAGCTGGTATAGCGTTCTCCCACAGACATGAGACCAGGCTCTATGCTGGGGATGAACTGGTTTTAATGAGAGCCACACACGCCCTGTTATGTAACGCCACATTCCAGGGGCATTCCCCGCTGGACCTGATAGGAGACTATTGCAAAGTACACATCTAAATTACATTATCTTTCAAAAAAGGGGAAGAGAAGAAGGGTGGAACTGTGTGCCAATGACAATGACAATGACAAAGCTTTTGGAAAGACTTGTCTTTACCCGTGTGTCTCACTTCCTCAATTCCAACTCTCTCCTTGACCCTCTTCAGTCTGGCTTCCACCCTCTCCACTCTACTGAGACTGCTCTCATCAAAGTCACTAATGACCTAATCGCAGCCAAATCCAAAGGTCACTACTCCATATTAATTCTCCTTGACCTCTCTGCTGCCTTTGACACCGTTGATCATGCTCTCCTCCTTCAAACTCTTCAATCGCTCGGTCTCTGTGACTCTGTCCTCTCTTGGTTTTCTTCCTATCTCTCCCAACGCTCATTCAGTGTCTCCTTTTCCAAGCATACCTCCTCCCCTCGCCCTGTCTCGGTTGGAGTTCCCCAAGGCTCTGTCCTTGGTCCCCTTCTATTTTCTCTTTATACTGCCTCTCTTGGCAAGCTTATTGCCTCTTTTGGATTCAACTACCACCTGTACGCTGATGACACTCAGATATACCTCTCCTGCCCAGACCTCTCCCCTGCCGTCCTGCAACGTGTCACTGCTTGCCTTTCTTCCATCTCTGACTGGATGTCCTCGCGCTTTCTGAAACTCAACCTCTCTAAAACTGAACTTGTTGTCTTTCCTCCTCCTTATACTGATCCTCCTCTCTCGCTCTCCCTTCAAGTCAGTGATATCCTTGCAAGTGCGCTGTCTTGGCGTCATACTTGACTCTGGCCTCACCTTTGAGCCTCACATCCAGTTTGTTGCCAAATCCTGTAGGTTCCAACTCAAAAACATAGCCCGCATCCGTCCCTTTCTTATGCAAGTTGCGACCAAAGAGCTTGTCCATGCTCTAGTAATTTCCCGCATGGATTACTGTAACCCTCTCCTGATTGGTCTCCCAAAAAGCCGTATTGCCCCGCTACAGTCTCTAATGAATGCTGCAGCTAGACTGATTTTCCTCTCTAGTCGGTCCTCTCACACATCACCCCTGTGCCAGTCCTTACATTGGCTCCCTGTATCCCACAGGAGTCAATTCAAAGTGCTATCCCATACATTTAAAACACTGAACAATTCTAGCCCCTCTTATATCTCCTCAATGATCCATAGGTATGCCCCTCCTCGTTCCCTCCGCTCTGCCCGTGACCACCTCCTGACCGCTGCTCGCACCCGTACGGCCAACTCACGCTTGCAGGACCTCTCGCGGGTGGCTCATTTCCTATGGAATAGCCTGCCTACTGCCATCAGACTCTCCCCTAGTCTTCAATCATTTAAAAAGAGCCTTAAAACCCATCTCTTCAGGAAAGCTTATGGCCTCCCAGAGTAACCTCTACCTTACATACCTGTCTCTTGCGCTCTCTACCCTCTCCTCCAGCTCTGCTTCACTCCCACCCTATTTGATTGATATTTCCTGTCCTAACATGTCTTATACCCCACCTCCTATAGACTGTAAGCTCGTTTGAGCAGGGTCATCTTCAACCTATCGTTCCTGTAAGTTTTCTTGTAATTGTCCTATTTATAGTTAAATCCCCCCCTCATAATATTGTAAAGCGCTACGGAATCTGTTGGCGCTATATAAATGGCAATAATAATAATAATAATAATAAAAAGGTCAACGAGCAGCACACTTCGTATATGGGTGGTCTAACAGTTAGTGAGTTTATTTGGTATATGAACGAAATAAACATAATCCGTTCGGTTCCTCCCATGTCCCAAACTAATAGGCGAAATAAATAAAGTTTTATAATCCAGGGACAGGGTGGTCTGTCATGATATTGACTTATCCTATATTTGTTTATATTTTCACATTTAAAAAATTAAAATAAATGTTCATCCACAATATTAAATATAGACCTTAAGAAGGACACAAAGAAAAAATGTTACCTGCGCTCTTCCCAAATCCCTATGGAGGTCATTTAGTTACTCCAATGGCCAGGAGAATTTAGCCCACCTGCCACGTCAAGGCAGACCTCTCAGGTGGGTCCCACACTAACCTTTCACCTTGCTTCCTTGAACTTCTGGCAAAGATATCTCTAATGAGACAGAAAGGGGTATTTTTTTTATACACCCCTACATGGTTATTAACCCTTAATAGGAAACACATGGGATGGGCAGCAGCATTGTAACAAAGCTGTGTGATACAATAAGTGAATACAAATAAAAAAAAAACAAGTCCTGTGCTCAAACTCCCACTACTCTTGGGCGGCAGCAACGTTCTGCGCTCAAACTCCCACTTCTCTTGGGAGGAGCTTGAGCACATGACTTGTTTTTTTGTCCTTAAGAAGGACATGGCAGAGAGCACTGTGTACAATTATTTATATAACAGGGTGTTACTCTCACTCAGGGTGTACTTACCTCTCATTCAGGGTGCGCAGAGAGTACAAGGCAGTGGCAGCTGGTGGTGGACTGCCAGACTGGACACATGAATGTTTTTATTCATGGATAGGAATATGTCTGTATGGCTGTACTACTGTCAAAATATGTGGACCACCCCATATTTAGGGAATAAATCTTATAGGCATATTGTTATTAATACGTTAAATAAATTGGCTATATTGAGGTTAAAGTCTAATTTAAAGTGTAATTCAGAATTTAGCCACAAGATGTCGCTAACGGATTATGTTAAAAAAAAAAAAATGCCTTTAAATGCAAGATAGGTATGCTCTGCAAAAAATGTAAATAAATATATATATAGGTTGGCCAGCATGAAGATTTTTAGTTAAAAAATATTCTCTCCTCAGGAATTTTTTTAAACTAAAAATAAATAAATAACTTCATAAAGTAAATGAGCATGCTGTCCAGGGGGCGGCTGATTTAGTGATGGGCCCCTGCTGTTGGAGTGGTTCCTGTTACTATGTGGCCTCTGCGCTAATTAACACTAAATTAAGGCACATACCACCTCAAACACTGGGTGCCTGCCTTACATTAGTGTGCAGGGTGAAGCTGGGGGAGCCGAGTGGCAGGCACTGCTGTCCATACGGTGTCTGTCTTTAAACCCGGTGGGGGGAGCCGGGGGAGAAATATGGCTGACACCACTGTCCACGTGGAGTGGAGCGTCTGAATATTGGGGGAGGGAGGGAGCAAGCCGGTAATGGTTCCTGGTGCCACGATGGCCACGCTCTGGTGTGGATCTCTCCCCGTAGAGATACAGCCGTAGTCTGAAAAAAAGTATACAATATAGTAGTAGAAACAAACTGTATCACCGCTGTATGAGGTAGTAGTATATCAGTATTTATAGGGTCTTCCATGATGAATGGAGGACTAGTAAACATTGCACGTCCAGAACCCTCTGATCTGCTTAACATATAGACTCCAGCGAGAAATAGTAAATAGGATTTATTAAAAATAACAGTAATACACAGTCCAACTTCCTCAGGGACCAGTAATAAAACATACTCCAAATTAGAATACATTCAAATAGCTGCCAAAACCACTGAGTCCTCTTTAAATAGCTCTCATTCCTTCACCCATTGGCTGTCGTGTAAGTGTGTCAACTTGCTTCCTGAGTGAGGACCAATTTATAGTGATGTTATGAACTTGCTGGATATGTCCAATCATCTTTCCTGGCCAATCCATGTCAATCCATGTCAGCATCACCTGTGGATTAGCTCCTCCCTCTCAGCTGATAGGACAGGAATCTAAATTCCAAACGATGGTATATAAGGAATCCACCTCCCCAGAATACACCGTCTCTTTGGTGGATACTTCTACAGAAGCAGTTTGTAGGGCTGTAGCCTGGTCATCTTTCAACAGTTCTGTGAGGCACTATCGCCTAGACGTTCCAGGGTCCTGTGCCTCCTCATTTGGGAGAAATGTCCTTACATTAACATTGATATGAGGTCATTGTTTTTTTTTTTATCACCCACCCTTTACTTTTGCTTGGGATTCGCCATGAAAAAAGAAAATTGTCAAATACTTATTGTAATTTTCTTTTCCTGGCCAATATCCATGTCAGCATACTTACTTGGTTACGAGACGGCGTATTCTAGGGAGGTGGATTCCTCATATGCCATCGTTTGAAATTTAGATTCCTGTCCTACCAGCTGAGAGGGAGGAGCTAACCCTCAGGTGATACTGACATGGATATTGGCCAGGAAAAGAAGATTATGGTAAGTAACAATTGTAACAATTTTCTGTTTTATTACGTTGCTGTAATAATAGAATGTTTAAAATAATGCATGAATCCAATGTACCAGCAGATTATTTTAACAGTAGTTTGAATAAAACCAGTTTCAACTTCCAGTTTGAAAGTAACGGATCTCATTACACAGTGCTCATCGTTTGACGCAGGCTTCATTATCTTCCAGATGGCTCAAATACAAGCGAGGAAAACATAACTAAATTACATGGCGGGCAGAAAAATACTGCAAAGAACATGAAATTGGCATCTTCTCTTCATTTATGGCCAGAGGTAATGCTATCAATATGCATATAATATATGTATTTAGAAGATAACTTCACGCTTTGAACATACAGTGAGAGCTCTGATCATACTGAACATACTTTAAAAACACTTTTAGAAAATCAATTTACAGCATCTTTTTAGAATATCATTTTAGAGCTGGATTGATGCTGCATTTTCAACATTTTTTATATTAATATAAATGGAGAAAGATAAAATTGTATCTTTTTTCTGCAATGTGTTTCTACAATTAAATCATATGTAGTTAATTACAGTGACAGAGATTCCGTGCTGCCAGGGTTGGTTACAGTGACAGATATTCTGTGCTGCCTTGATTGGTTAGAGTGACAGAGTGTGACGGAGCTCCTTGTGCCCCTGGCTGGGTACCTCCGCCAAGGACCGCTTCCTAGCTGGAACAGGGGACAAACCACAGCACTTCTGCCCACAGTCTCCATGGCTAGACTGGGGCCCTGGAACCACTCTCACCTGGAGACGAATGGGGAACTTGCTCTAGACACCCCCAGGCACTGGACGACACTCAGTCCTGGGAGCTCTAATCCTTACAAGGACTTTCCCCATTGAATCCTCCACACTGGAACAGTAATAAAAGAGTAGCCCTTTCCCCAGTACCAGATGACACAGTTCTAGGAGTACAAGCTGGAATACTTTTATGGCAGCCACAACTGGCTTTATATGTATGTCTCCATGCAAGGGGCACTCCCTCTGGACCTGAGAGTAAACCACCGTAGAAACAAATATACAATTACACTGGCTCTCAGGTCCAGGACACTCCCATACAAAAACAGATAATCCCTCCTCTGTGCCTGGGAGATAATTGGATCAGGAACTGTACTAATCTAATCCAATTATCTCCAAGCACAGAAAAAACATACCTTTCCCAAACACCCCAAAAGTACCCTAAAAATACATATAAACCCCATAAAATGTTACATCCCCTGATAGCCCTGATTTGGGTGACCAACATATCCAAAAATCACCAAGATCAGTTCAGGGGTTCAGGAATTTCCTGAAAGTCATTTGTTTGACCGACCGCACGCATGGTCCCATGCCCAAAACAGTTCCAAAGAATCAGGGCTTGCGGTCGGTCTTGTTCGGTAGTTTGAAAACAAACAAACTACCGAATAGAGTCAATAGTCTTACCCTGGAGCTTGTTCCCCTTGTTCGTGAGAACGTTTCCACCGAACAGTATCTTTCTAAGTGTTGTCGAACTGAACGCAGGCGATCAAGTCCAGTGGTGTTCAGGGGTTTCAGTGTCTGAAAATAGTTCCATGAAGAAAATGACCAAACACCGCTGCCTAGTTTCATGTGAACAAGATGACTGCCACTTCGTGGTCGTCCATAGGAATTGCGGACACCCAGACGAACACTTAGAACACTGCAGTGGAAATTGCTACAAAGTATCAATTAGGTTTAACAAGCTCCAGGGTGGTCTCCGGATCGTGCAGCTGTTTGGTTCCCGTACCATATAGTCCAAATACACAAAAGGAGACTTTTAGAGATTCTATGCTGCCATGTTTGGTTACAGTGACAGAGATTCTATGCTGCCTTGGTTGGTTGAGGTGACAGAGATTCTGCGCTGCCATGGTTGTGTATTTATGGCGGTTTGCCTCTATCCCTAGAGATAATCGGGGGGATTAGCTCAAATGTTAGAGCGCTCGCTTAGCATGTAAGAGGTAGCAGGATCGTTGCCCGCATTCTTTCCAGGGATAGAGGCAAACCGCCATTTTACATGGTATAATAAAAACACATAAAAATTCATAAATGTAAAACTACCGAATGCATTTAATTCGTATAACGTATCCCCAGATAGCCTAGATCTGAGTGCACATTACTACCGAATAGCGCTCAGACCCAATGCACACAGTTCAATCGCCAAAGAGTCAAAGTCTTTCACACTGTTCTTTCGGTATACGAATGACTCCATGGGATGGCTATCTGGGTTAAGTCCATTCGTACAATAAAAAGTCCCGAACGGACCGGCGTTCGTATGCCTGATGATAAGAAGGGCGGTAGGCGGTTTCAGCGGTGTCCGGTAGAAAAAGTGTCCGGTTTGAGTTCCATAAGTTCATCATCGTGGCGGTGGAGGAGGTAGCCAACACTGTTTTTTTTTTTTTAAATTGGGGTAGCCCCCAAAATATTGGGACGTATCAAAAAAGAAACATTTGCGGCCTGTGGTGCATTTCTTGCAGTCCAATAACGCCATCAGGTTTTTAAAACTGTCCGTCTCCACCAGACGGAATGACAGCATTTCAAAGGCCAGGAATTTTGAAATGCTGGCATTCAGGGCCAGGGATCGTGGGTGGGTAGGGGGTACTTCCTCTTTCTCTTCAGTGTTTGGGAGATGGACAGCCGAATGCTTCCATGGGACAGTGTGGAGATTCTGGACAATTGTGTACCTGGCCAATGCTGGTGCAGGAACCCACCCTCCGAGCCACTTGTGAATGACTGGCCTGATAACCGTGGAAATGACCCCTCTTTCTCCTTCTCTTCCTCCTGTGCCACATCCTCTTCCATTATCTCCCAAAGCATTTTTTCAAGGAGACATAGAAGCGCAATAGTAAGGCTGAGAATGGCATCATCGGCACTGGCCATGTTGGTGGTGTACTCGACACAGCGCAACATGGCACACAGATCTTGCATGGAGGCCCACTCATTGGGGGTGAAGTGGTGCTGTTCCGCAGAGCAACTGACCCGTGCGTGCTGCAGCTGAAACTCCACTTTCGCCTGCTGCTACTCGCACAGTCTCTCCAACATGTGCAAGGTGGAGTTCCACCTTGTGGGCACGTCTCATATGAGGCGGTGAGCAGTAAGGTCGAAGTTACACTGCAGTGCAGACAGACGAGCAGCAGCAGGGTGAGAACGCCGAAAGTGCACACAGCCGCTGCAGTGAAACTATGAATGACTCATTAAATCAGTTATTGTTCCTTTGATCGTTCCATCTGTTACTTGGATAATGTAACGGATCGAAGGGCACCCCGACTGGGTACCTCCGTTGAAGGATGCTCCTAGCGCTTCCTGAGGACTCCAAGCACTGCAGCAGACACCATAACCACAGTAGACTTCTCCAGAGAGCAAGGCAGAAACAAGCTCTTACAAGAGCTTAGTAGTGATATAGCAAGAGAGTATGACAAGCATAGCAATCCCTTGTAGCAGATTCCCCCAGTAAGAGACGGCACTTCAAATTGAGGGTGAAGTAGAACTGAAGCTTTTAATCAAACACTCTGCTTCCATGCACATTTTACACACATAGTACTGCCCACAGGGTTTTGCAGAACAACCAATCAATACGTACAATACACTCAGATACTCCCACACAAGAAAATACACAGTTTTACACTGTGGCGAAACCAACCTCGCCACTGTGAACTGGAGAAGCCTGGTTGCTCGCCTGCTCCCTTTGGACTATGGCCCTGCAGGTTAAACCGTTTATTTCCCCTGCAGAAAGGCTTATTTGTGTGATCTGAGTGCCATTCATCTAATAATGTGCACCCAGATCCCAGCTATCTGGGGATATGTGAAATGTCTGTGTGTTATGTGTAAATGTGACTTTATGTATTTTAAAGTGTTTTGTGTCTTTTGCAACCATGTGCTTAATGGAGTCTTGTGTCTGTCCTGGGAGATAATTGAATTACTTATCTCCAGGATAGAAGACTCTGAAACTGGTTTGGGCCAGAAAGCCATGCTTCATTTAGTCACAAAGGACTTTTTACTAACTTTTGAACCCCTGGTCTGATTCATGCCATTTTTTAATATGTTGTTCCTCTGAATGGATTGATTGTGAATATGTAATTTATGTGAATGTGATGTATGGTTTTAGAGTTATGAAAGTTGGGTAGAAAGTATGTTTTAACTGTATGTGTAATTGAGTTTCCTCTCAGGATAAGGGGAGGGAATATGTGGGATGTAGCTGATATGTGATTGGTTGTTTTGTAACGCCCTGTGGGCTGTACTATGTTTGTGGATTGGGAATAAAAGAGACTGTATGTGACAGTACAGGGAGTTCCTGCTTAACCCTCAAAGTGAAGTGTCGCCTCATTATTGGGGGAAGGATTTATTGTATGCTGTTCCAGTTTGACTGCTAGGAGAGTAAACCTATTCGTATGGTTCCTATTCAACTGTCTACAGCATTCATATGCTTGAGAGGATTCATATGCTTCTCCGGTTCGGTGGTTGTGGTGTCTGCTGCAGTGCTTGGAGTCCTCAGGAAGCGCTAGGAGCATCTTTCAACGGAGGTACCCAGTCGGGGTGCCAGGCGATCCGTTACATCGGTGGCAAGCGGTGGGATGGCGTCCTAGTGCGAGGTAAAGCAGCTCGGAGACACAGTTCGTGGATTTACAAATTGAGGGCAACGCTAGTACCCGTACAGCGACCCTATCTACAAAAGAACTAACTTCAGCAGAGCAAGCATGGCGTATGACTACACTCAGGAGGAGTTTGACAGAGAGGTTAATGAGGTGCTGTCTACCTTTGGACCCAACCCCCAGAGAGAGCCGTGCAGCTCACCAGGAAACTAGTAGGAGAATACCTGCAATCTCTAGTAGATTTGGCCAAAAAGGAGTCCCAGGGAGCCAAAGGTGTCGTCCTTCCTCCCCAGCGGCAGTGTGAGTCCCAGGGAGCCAAAGGTGTCGTTCTTCCTCCCCAGCGGCAGTGTGTGTACCAGGGAGCTGAAGGTGCCGTCCTTCCTCCCCAGCGGCAGTGTGTACCCCAGGGAGTTGAAGGTGTTGTCCTTCCTCCCCAGCGGCAGTGTGAGTCCCAGGGAGCCAAAGGTGCCGTCCTTCCTCCCCAGCGGCAGTGTGTATCCCAGGGAGCTGAAGGTGTCGTCCTTCCTCCCCAGCGGCAGTGTGTGTCCCAGGGAGCTGAAGGTGCCGTCCTTCCTCCCCAGCGGCAGTGTGAGTCCCAGGGAGCCAAAGGTGTCGTCCTTCCTCCCCAGCGGCAGTGTGTACCCCAGGGAGCAGAAGGTGCCGCCCTTCCTCCCCAGCGGCAGTGTGTATCCCAGGGAGCTGAAGGTACCGTCCTTCCTCCCCAGCGGCAGTGTGTCCTGCAGGAAGCGGAGACAGTCGGTCTCGCTCCCCAGCAGCAGGACAATATATTAAAAGGGGAGACAGTTGGTCCCCCCCTCCAACAGCAGAGAGTGTTCCAGGGAGAGGAACCAGTTATCACCTCTCCCCAGCAACAGGACAAATTATTGAAAGGGGAGACAGTCGGTCTCCCCCTTCAACAGCAGAGAGTGTGTCAGGGAGAGGAGCTTGTTATCCCCTCTCCCCAGCGGCTGAAAGTATGTATGGGAGAGGAGCTTGTTACCCCCTCTCCCCAGCGGCAGCTTAGCCCACCAAGGGGAGACAGTAATCTCCACAACAGTGCAGATGGGACAGTCTCTGCACATGCACCACCGGGGGTAGGGACAGTCGGTCCTGTCCCCCAGCAGCAGGACTGTTTAGGCAAAGGGGAGACAGTCTGTCTCCCCCTCCCACAACCAGGCTCCCACCAGGCTACTTCCGTGGTAGCACTGGCATCAGGGCAGAGTACCGCTGGTCTCTGCCCACTCAGCAACCCACCAAGGCAGCCCAACAGTTGCCCACACAGTCGTGGTGAGGCACCTGGACATGGACAAAGTTCTCCTCTACCCAGGTGTAGTAACCAGTTATTGTGGGTGGGCTGTACTGCTGTTTCTGTTTTGTGGGTGGGTTGCTGGACTAACCAGGGCACTGACCGGCGGGAGGTCAGATACCTTGTTAGTCTAGTTGGTAAAGGGGAGAAGTGTGGCGAAACCAACCTCGCCACTGTGAACTGGAGAAGCCTGGTTGCTCGCCTGCTCCCTTTGGACTATGGCCCTGCAGGTTAAACCGTTTATTTCCCCTGCAGAAAGGCTTATTTGTTTGATCTGAGTGCCATTCATCTAATAATGTGCACTCAGATCCCAGCTATCTGGGGATATGTGAAATGTCTGTGTGTTATGTGTAAATGTGACTTTATGTATTTTAAAGTGTTTTGTGTCTTTTTGCAACCATGTGCTTAATGGAGTCTTGTGTCTATCCTGGGAGATAATTGAATTACTCTCCAGGATAGAAGACTCTGAAACTGGTTTGGGCCAGAAAGCCATGCTTCATTTAGTCACAAAGGACTTTTTACTAACTTTTGAACCCCTGGTCTGATTCATGCCATTTTTAATATGTTGTTCCCCTGAATGGATTGATTGTGAATATGTAATTTTATGTGAATGTGATGTATGGTTTTAGAGTTATGAAAGTTGGGTAGAAAGTATGTTTTAACTGTATGTGTAATTGAGTTTCCTCTCAGGATAAGGGGAGGGAATATGTGGGATGTAGCTGATATGTGATTGGTTGTTTTGTAACGCCCTGTGGGCTGTACTATGTTTGTGGAATGGGAATAAAAGAGACTGTATGTGACAGTACAGAGACTTCCTGTTTTAACCCTCAAAGTGAAGTGTCATCTCATTATTGGGGGAAGGATTTATTGTATGCTGTTCCAGTTTGACTGCTAGGAGAGTAAACCTATTCGTATGGTTCCTATTCAACTGTCTACAGCATTCATATGCTTGAGAGAAGGTATACGCTTCTCTGGTTCGGTGATTGTGGTGTCTGCTGCAGTGCTTGGAGTCCTCAGGAAGCGCTAGGAGCATCCTTCAACGGAGGTACCCAGTCGGGGTGCCAGGTGATCCGTTACATACACAATATTCATAACTCTAAAAGTATACATCACATTCACATAAAATTTTCAGAATCGGCATACTCCAAATACAAACATACGTCAAAATCATAAAAATTGGTCCAGTGGGTCAAAAGTTAGTTGGAAATCCCTTTGTGACCACCTGCAAGCATGGCATGGGTGTCGTAAGCCAATTACCTCCAGCATACAGAAAATAGCTCTATTCACAACAACAGTAAAAACACATAAAAATACATAATTCTTATTATACTTAACAGAACCCCCACATTGGATCTGAGCGCTCACTATATCCGAACAGTGCTCAGATGCCACAAACACTGTCAAATCGCCATGGGGTTAAACCATAGCAACAAGTTCCAACTGGTCTGGGACAACGCCCTGCTGGAGAACAATAGACAGGAAACGGGGGAGGAGCACACCTTCTCATGTATTCAAAGGAGCAGAAAAAGTGTTTCAAAATCCAATAAGCCCAAATAATGTCTTTAAAGGGCAATACATCCCAGGGGCCATAGTCACATGGTAGGAGGCTGGCAATCAGTCTTCTCCAATGCCCAGTGGCGAGGTCGGTTTCACCACACTGTGTTAATTCTAGAGCTAATACATGCCGACGAGCGCTATGGGATGGCCGCTCCGCTTTTGTACCCTGCTCCCTCTTATGCTGTGCTGGTGCCTCTGTGCGACCACCGCCTCTTCCTCCAAACTGCACACGTCACTCGCATGACCTTCATTCCATGTGGGGTCTAGGACCTCATCATCCTCCACATCATCTTCCACCCACTCCTCAACCCTGCCCTCCTTGCCAATCTGCACACTGCAGAAAGCCACAGCAGTTGGCACCTGTGTTTTTTCAGCATGTAAAGTCTGCAAAGGACATATGGAAATTGTTTTAGAATTGTATCCAGGCAACAGTTTTCCCTATAAACTGACCTCTCAGTTTGACTTGTGAGGGTATTGACCCAGAATTACAATATTGTTTAAGTACCTCTTAGCTGTTGATAACTGGTTTAAATAGAGCAGCTTGTTATCTGGTAGTTTCTAGTGTAGAAAATATCAATCTGTTTTCTATCGCTTAGATCTGTTTAACAAGTGTTGTAGGTGTGAAACAATATTACAAGTGACAGATGTAGTAAATGCGAATCAAAGTTCCATTTGCAAAAAAAATTCTCACCCATCTTCTGTGGGTTATTGCATTTTTAAGATGTAGACTTATTGTATCATACTAGCCATGCACAGGTAGATTGTCTGGCACATTGTTTTGGTGTTTGGTTTTTAACTTTGTAGTTGTGTCATTACACAATATCTAAATGTATATTAATGCTTCTGTATAAGAATTTGAATGTTTAAAAATGTGCTGTAACCACAGTATTTGACGGTTCTATTTGACTCTCAGATATGAAGTGCAGGCCCCAAATTTATTTTTAGCACCTAAAGAATTTGAATGTTTAAAACTGCAATGTAAGCACAGTATTTGACGGTTCTATTTGAGTCTCAGATATGAAGTGCTGACCCAAATTTTACTTTTTAGCACCTAAAAAATTTGAATGTTTATAAATGCGCTGTAACCACAGTATTTGACAGTTCTATTTGACTCTCAGATATGAAGTGCAGCGCAGGCCGCAAATGTACTATTTAGCACCAAAAAGTTAGATTTTTTAAACCAACAATGTAACAGTAGTATTTAAGGGTTTTATTGGACTGCAAGAAATGCAGTACGCAAATGTACTATTTAGCACCAAAAAAATTGCAGTATTTAAAAATGTCTAGATATTGCCCACTGAGCTACCAGAACAGGATTAAAGTAATGTGCCTGGCACACATGCAGTTGCAAGTGCACTGCACTCTCTGTGGCACTGTGCTCAGGGCAGGTTACAAAACTGTAGTATAGCACCCACAAAAATAATCACTGTAGTTTGCAGAACTCCAACCCGAACATACACTGATATGTCCGTGTTCGGGTCCGGGGTCCAAAAATCGTAATGTTCGGTACGAACCCGAACTTTACAGTCCGGGTTCGCTCAACTCTAGTCAGGAATATATGTTTGTATTCCTGACACTATAGTGTTCCTTTAATCAAATTAAAGGAACATTCTGGTGACCATAACAACTTCATCTAAATGAAAATACTATGATGCAAGGAGGCCCCTGGGCGCTCTCTTTCCTTTAAGGGGTTAAACCGCTCTCATATGGTTTACGCCCAAAGGCTTCCTCCAACTCCAGAGCTCCAGGTCGCTCAGTGGTATTCGGCTTCTTAAAAGGAGCGTCAGGAAGTGCAGATTGATGTCAGGCATGGGTGCCACTGATTGGCTAGAGGGGTCAGCTGACGCTCTAAGCCAATCGCTAGTTCCTGATTCATAAAAATGTTTTACGTTTTTATGAATGGGGAGCTACTGATTGGCTTAGAGTGCCAGCTGACCGCTCTAGTCAATCAGCGACACCCCTACCCAGCGGCCCTCTGTGCTTCCTGACACTCAGTAAATAAAAGTGAACACATTAACACTGATATTGTTTTTACCTGGGGAGATGAAAAGGTCCAAAGTTTCCCTGCCAGGCCCAGGTACCAAAGCCTTATGATGTGATGTCCAGAATGAAGTGCTCCAATCTCATTTTCTTCTCCTTCATTTGACACATTCTTCTTTTTCTTCTGACACAGTCTTTTCTCCTCCTTGGCTCCTTCTGCTCCTTTACCTTTCTGCTACTTTCTGCTTATTTTGCGCCCTTCTGCTCCTTTCTCTTTCTGATCCCTTTCTTCTCCTTGCAAGCCCTTCCTGCATCTTGCTGCCTCTTCCTGCTCATTGCAGACCCTTCCTGCTTCTTGCAGACCCTTCCAGCTTCTTGCAGCCCCTTGCTGCCCCTTTCTGTTCCTTCTGATTCTTTCTGCACCTCCCTGCTCCTTGCTGCCCCTTCTTTCTCCTTGCTGCCGCTTTCTGCTGCTTGTAGACATTTCCTGCTTCTTGCTGCCTCTTCCTACTCCTTGCTGACCCCCCTTGCTCCTTGCTGCTTCTTTCTGCTCCTTTACCATTGTGCTCCTTCTGTCCCTTCCTGCCCCTTTCTGCTCATTGCTGACCATTCCTGCTTCTTGCTGCCCTTCCTGCTTCTTTCTGCCCCTTCCAGCTTCTTGCAGCCCCTTGCTGACCCTTTCTCTTCCTTCTCCTACTTTAACTTTGTGCTCCTTCTGATTCTTTCTGCCCCTTCCTGCTCCTTTCCCCCTTCCTGATCCCTTCTGCTCCTGTCTGCCCCTTCTTTCTCATTGCTGCCCCTTCCTGCTCCTTGCAGACCCTTCCTGCTTCTTGCTGCCTCTTCCTACTCCCTGTTGACCCCTCTTGCTCCTTGCTGACCCTTCCTACTCCTTGGTCACCCCTCCTGCTCCTTGCAGACCGTCCCTACCCATTTCTGCTGCCCCTTCCTACTCCTTGCTGACCCCTCCTGCCCTCTGCAGACCCTTCCTACTCCTTACTGATCCTCCTGCCCCTTGCAGACCCTTTTTACTCCTTGCTGAACCCTCCTGCTTCTTTCTGCCCCTTCCTGATCCTTACTGACCCCTCTTGCTCCTTGCAGACCCTTCCTACGCCTTGCTGTCCCCTCTTGCTCCTTGCAGACCCTTTCTACTCCTTGCTGACCCTCATTGCTTCTTGCTGACCCCTCCTGCTCCTTTCTGCCCCTTCATTCTCCTTGCTGACCCCTCTTGCTCCTTGCAGACCCTTCCTACTCCTTGCTGACCCTTCTTGCTCCGTGCAGACCCTTCATACTCCTTGCTGACCCCTCTTGCCACATGCAGACCCTTTCTACTCCTTGCTGACCCCTCCTGCTCCTTGCAGACCGTCCCTACCCCTTCCTGCTGACCCCATCTGCTCCCTACTGCCCGTTTCTGCAAATTGTGCACCTGTTCACCTCCTACTTTACCCTCCTGCCCCTTGCAGAACCTTACGGCTCCTTTTACTTTACTTTCCTCTATGATGTCTCCCTCCACCCCTCACTTTCCTCTGTAGGCTGCCTCTGTGCTGCTCTCCTGCGGTGTCATTAATGAGAGAGAAGCAGGGATAAGCTGTAGCTTCCTGCCTTTCTCCATTCACAGCGCCACCTACTGGCCAGCGCCGGTATTGCAGTGCATTCTCACACTGAAACAAAAAATAGCAGCACAAGCTGAAAACTCCAGGGGGGCAAGTGCCCCCTCTTGCCCCTCCCCCCCCCTGCAGACGCCCATGAGTGGAGACTGGGTGAGCATCTAACGGAGGAGGGAAGTGAGTTCCACAGGAACGGTGCAGCCCTCGAGAAGTCTTGAAGGCGAGCATCAGAGGAGGGAGTACAGACAGAAGACAGACTTAAGTCTTCAGCAGATCGTAAGGGCCTAGACAGGACATACTTGTGTATAAGGGAGGATAGATAGGTGGGAGCAGCATTATGTAGAGATTTGAAAGCAAGAACCAGAATTTTAAATTGAGCTCTATATTTTATAGGAAGCCAATGTAGGGACTGACAGAAGGGTGAGGCGTGGGAGGTGTGGGCGGACAGGAAGATGAGCCTCGCCGCTGCATTCATTATGGACTGTAACAGCGCAAGTTGGGAGCACGTAAGACCACTGAGAAGCGGATTACAGTAGCCACGGCGAGAAAGGACAGTGGAATGGGCCAGCACCTTAGTCGCATCTGGCGTTAAGTAGGGTAGGATGCGCGCAATGTTTTTGAGATGGAAACAGCAGGATTTGGTGATCAACTGAAAATGAGGAGTAAAGGAGAAGTCAGAGTCAAAGAGAACACCCAGCCAGCGAGCCTTCGTGGTGGAGCTGATGGTTTTCAGTTTTGGTCAAGTGGAGTTTAAGGAAGTGGGCAGCCATCCAGTCAGAAATAGCAGAGAGGCAGTCAGAGAGACTAGTCAAGAGGGATGGGGAGAGATCAAGAGAGGACAGGTAGATTTGCATGTCATCCACATAAAAAATTATATTGGAAGCCAAAAGGAGCTAATGAGTTTACCAAGGGAGGCAGTATAGATGGAGAACATTAGGGGACCAAGGACTGAACCTTGGGGGACACCAACAGAGAGGAGTTGGGAAGCAGAGCCAGAGAAAGAAACACTGAAAGAGCGCTGGGAAAGGTAGGAGGAGCACCAGGAGAGAGCAAGATCTTGTAGATCAATATTGCGGAGGATGAGAAGAAGCTGTTGATGATCAACAGTGTCAAAAGCCACAGAAAGGTCAAGGAGAATTAGAATAGAGTAGTGACCATGAGATTTTGCAGCGAGTAGATCGCTGGATACTTTGGTCAGTGCCGTTTCCACAGAGTGCTTAGCGCGGAAACCAGACTGAAGCAGGTCTGGCAGAGAGTTGGACTAAAGAAAGTCTGTCAATCTTGCTTACGCAACTCTTTCAAGGACCTTGGATGCAAAAGGCAGTAGTCAGATAGGACGGTAGTTGGATGGGGAGTTAGGGTCAAGGTTGGGCTTCTTTAGAATTGGGGTTACAGTTGCATGTTTGAAGGGTGATGGAAATATGCCAGGGGGTAGAGAGAGATTGAGAATTTTAGTGAGAGGTAGAGAAAGAGAATAAGTCAAAGTACGGATGAGATGTGAGGGAATTGGATCTAGGGAGCAGGTGGTGGGGCGGGAGAACTGGAGCCAAGCAGAAACCTCTTCCGCTGTAGCGGGTGCGGGACAAAAATTATTTGTTTGTTTTTTAACATTCCTTCTGTTGGATAAAAACCAAATATCTTGTCGTAGACCTGAGACTATGGACACATCTAGGACAACAGACACCTCAATCAATTTAAAAAAAATAATAATCCTTTCATCAGTACTAAAAAATTTATATATAAAGATAAATATATATATGTATACATCCTCTAAAAATATGATGAAAGTATTCTTATATTAAACATATCAGATGACAGTTGCCCTTTAACGTATGATCTAAATTAACAATAATGCTCTAAAAATGTAAATTGTTGTTTTACAGTTTAAACAATAAATTAATAGATTACTACTTCCATTTTACTAGATTTACAAAGAAATATACAAATTGACCTCATCTCATTTTTCAATATTCACAGGCAAAATGCAAACTGTTGAACTTGGACTTTGGATTCAATGCTTTTGATGATCAGTACAGAGGTTGTACAGAACTTCTCGAAGAAGACGTCATGCCCAAAATTTTAACCTTGGAAAAGGCAATAAACCTTGAGTTTGGCTTAGCGTGGAACCGAGCAGAGGTGCAGTGGGAGCAAATAAAAACACAATTCCGTCTTCCTCCTGGGTTTAAAGATGAATTTGGAACTGCAGTTATAGTCTACACTACTGATTGGCCAAAAGAGAACCCAGTATATAAAGTATTTAATGAAAATGTCAGCACAGCTGGAAAATCTAGAACTCATTATATCCAAAACTTTCACTTCAAATCCCTCCACTTCTACCTTACACGGGCTCTGCAGACCCTTAAGAAAACCTCCAAGAGGAGGCACCAAACTTTCCGAGGGACACATGATTCTTACGAGGTGTCAGAATCTGTTCTAAGGTTTGGGAGATTCACATCTTCCTCGTTGAACATCGAAGTAGCCAAAGAATATTATTCTGGATTACTTTTTGAGATCGTAACTTGCTTTGGAGTCGACATCCACAAACTTTCTTCTTTCCCTGAAGAAAAGGAGGTTCTGATCCCAGTGGCGGAGAAGTTTATCTACAGGGGAAAGAAGGGTAACATGCATGTGATAGACAGCACATGTGAACTGTGTAGCTATTTTAATTGCGCGCTTTTTGGAGGTAAGTGTAAGTAAGAATTGATATTCATGGTGTTCCGTGTACATGTCAACGCGACAATTAATGCAAACATTATAATTACATTTAGAAGGTTTATTGTAACAGTTTAGGGCAAGCTGGTATTGTACAAATGTCCAGGGTATGTGCTCTCTACAGTGTGGACTCTAAATATCCTCTGAAAGACTACACTAGGTTATATTTTGTGTCGTTTTTGTTTCTGTTGTTGGAAAAGGAATGCAACCTTTTACAAAGCGCAGACACCAGCAACGCATCCCTCGCAATCCCCACATTTACATCGCAAGAAGGAGAAAGGGATGGGGTGAATCCTGCAGGGAAAATTAACCGAGCAGCCGAAATGATATTTCATTGTGAAAGTGAAAATGTGTGGGTAAATTCCACAGGGAAGGAAGTAAAGGAAGTATAAAAAGAAACATAAAGTGGCTGGGTATCTTTCGCAAAGGAAAAGAAAAGCTTGATGAAGTAACATATAATAAGTTGACTTTTTGCATGGTGGAAACAGGATGAGCAGTTAAAATAAATCTCTCTTTATATAAAATATATTATACACACTACACATGGAGGGACTCTTAGTCTTCTCAAATAAACCTTTATTCCGTCTTTGTCAAAAATACATCGTGTCAGTTCCAGGATCGTGACCTATATAATGCCCCTCCCACTGATTGGTCACTTCTCACTTGGTTTGTGAATAAAATCAACATTCACAAGACCAAAATCGCTGACCTTAAAACATAGCTGAGTTAGAAAATGCTCCCAGTTTGGGAACTTTGAAATCTCACTGTAGAGAATAGTCTGGTTAGTAACTGTCCCCTACCAAAACAATCAACTATTTTTCCGCCATCGATCATCTTTTTTTTTGGCACTACGCCCAAAAATATTTTTTCCGAAAATCCTATTCCGAATTAGAAATCAGTACAAGCGCGCGTGTCCATTACTTGTTACCTTGGTTTGGGATTTAGCTGCGTTTTGGAAATTAGACAATTACTCAGTTGGCCCACGTTCAGATGAATTGCAGTTTGTAGCAAAATGAATTCCACGTCTAATAATAAATGAGAAGTTGATGTTGAGAGATGAGAGGAATAAAGCGAGATGATAACGTACCATATAAAGTAAAGTAACAAGTGTTTATTAACACTGATTAATGGAGGAAAACGTTACTCTCTAATTTCGTGTTTTGTATTTTTAACCGTTTGCTTGCCAACATGCACACATCATAACTTGGCCCATCAAGCCCACTTTGTTCCCGCAGTGACGCTCTTCCTACGGAGAAACAAATTTTGTGCGAGTTCTCATTTCTGTCTCCATGCATCCACGCAGTTTTATTTTTCTTTTGTATTTAACTTTATTGTCACACCTGCTCTACGTAATAAAAATTGTATTTGTGTTTCAATATATAACATAACCCATAATCCTGTACTGCACAGGGGCAGCGTTATACTGAGTAATAAAATGAAATGTGAGACCCCTAACCGCAGTAACCACCCAGGCCAGCTGCTGCTGCTACCACCTGTCACCAGTAATTCAATCCTTGTCTTCCTACTGAAATGCTCAGAGAGGAGCTGTGTCCACAGATACACTGTATCTCATTGTATGTAAATACTGAGCACTTCATTGGGAGATTATCATTATAACCAACGTGTTTAGTTCATCTATATATTATTCCTGTATGTGTGGCTAATCATTGGGCTGTTTTTAATCAAATACCGCCATCTAGTGGTTTTTATTGATACATATGTTGCATGACATTGGGTCTTTGACTTTAGAGTTTATACATGTCATTTAATCTATTACTTAGTAACTCTTTCTAATCACAAGATACTGTGTACAATGATGTCTATGGACCTTCTGCAGTATCCTTACACTCCTGTATAGGAAAAAACACTATACAATAAAACCAGTGTGATGGTTGGGATGGTTTGCTTAATAATAATTCTATCAATTAGAATTATTTATGGATACAATGATATTGGACATAACATTCTTAAAGGAGTACTGTCACGTCCAAATATTAATGATATTGTTTTTAGTTATTCCATTATTTAAGCAATTTGTACATTTCTAAGGTGGGTAATAAAAAAATGTAGAAATCCAACCCTCTTTATCCTGTAACTGAGCGCCTCCATCTTAGCTCCCTGTCAATCATTGTTATAAGCTCCGCCCTTTACACCTGGCAGTCAGTATAGAGAGAGCCGCCTCCATCTTAGCTCCCTGTCAATCATTGTTATAAGCTCCGCCCTTTACACCTGGCAGTCAGTATAGAGAGAGCCACCTCCATCTAAGCTCCCTGTCAATCATTGTTATAAGCTCCGCCCTTTACACCTGGCAGTCAGTATAGAGAGTGAGTACAGAAAGGAGGAGAAATGGAACAAGGTTTCTGTTTTTCCCCCTCATTTGCCCTGGCTTTACTTTGGTATTTTGAACTGGATTTAGATTTAATTTGCCAGATATTTAATATTAATATAAAGCTGTGGCAAACCTAGCCACTTGGAACTGCCTAAGATAGAATGGTTGTGCCTATTTTCTGTTGTGTACTGCGCGCCGGTATAGTGTGGCGTCTCCGGCTATGTTTAATTTATGCTGTACTGTGTATGTCTGTTCGAATCCTCCCCATTCGTTAGCATTGCTATTAAAACTGACTAAGTTGTATATTTTGAAGTAGAAAGGTAACGGTTTATGTCCTCGTAGTTTTCATTACTGTATGTTACAGCAGGGGCTGTTGGGAGGAGGACCTGGAAACGGTAGTCTCCCTCCAGTCCCCTCAACCAAAACCCCTGCTGCCCATCTTTGGAAACCCCTGTTGAGTGACCTGCTTTAAATATCAGTTATTTTTAATAAAGTGACAGTTGAGTGACCTGCTTTAAATATCAGTCTTTTTGAATAAAGTGGCAGTTGACTCTCAGACTGTGTTTCGTCTGGTTCTTGGGAGGATTTGGGAATATTGCCTGCTTCCAGCTTTGTACTTGGTTATTGCATTCTACCAGCAGAGATCCTGGGATTATAAAATTGCAGCTCCGCAACAAAAGCTTTACTCCAAGCATCATAAAGACATAAAGAAATTGCAGGGGGGAGTTTTTTTATAGCACTGAACCATTAGTTATACTTTGCATAAGAAATGAATCCAGAGTTTTTACTTATGTTTTGGCCTGCACAGATAAAGCTGTTGTTTTGGCTCCATCTGGTGGTCTGGGTGCCTGGTCCAGCTAGGGTTAACCCTTTTTTCTATAAACATAGCAGTTTCAGAGAAACTGCTATGTTTACAATAGAGTTAATCCGGCCTCTAGTGGCTGTCTCATTGACAGCCGCTAGAGGCGCTTCCGCACTTCTCACTGTGATTTTCACAGTGAGAAGGTACCAGCGTTCATATCAAAGCATTGAGAATGCTTTCCTATGGACTGGCTGAATGCGCACGTGGCTCCTGCCGTGCATGCATATTCAGCCGATGACGTCGCTATGGAGGAGGAGAGGAGGAGGAAAGCTACCCGCCTGGCGCTGGAGAAAGAGGTAAGTTTAACCCCTTCCTCCCCCTAGAGCCCAGCAGGAGGGGGGCCCTGAGGGTGGGGCAAGAGTATGTTTCCTGGCAAGTTTATGTGGGCCGCACAAACACACACACACACACATACTCACTGACAGACACAGACACACTCGTTGACAGACACACACGCATACTCAGACAGACACACACATACTTGTTGATAGGCACACACACACTCACACACACACAGACACACACTCACTGACAGACACACATACAGACACACTGACACACACATACAGACACACACACATACTCACTGACAGACACACACATACTCGCTGACAGACACACACATACTCACTGACAGACACACTCACTGATAGACACACACATACTTGCTGACAGACGCACACACGCACTCACTGATAGACACACACATACTTGCTGACAGACACACACACACTCACTGACTGACACACACACTGACAGACACACACATACTCACTGACAGACACACACACTCACTGATAGACACACACATACTTGCTGACAGACACACACACTCACACACTGACAGACACACACACATACTCACTGACAGACACACACACGACACTCACTGATAGACACACACATACTTGCTGACAGACACACACTCACTGATAGACACACACATACTTGCTGACAGACACACACACTAACTGACTGACACACACACTGACAGACACACACATACTCACTGACAGACACACACACGCACACTCACTGATAGACACACACATACTTGCTGACAGACACACACACTCACTGACTGACACACATACTGACAGACACACACACATACTCACTGACAGACACACACATACCTGCTGACAGACACACACACAATCACTGACAGACACACACATACTCATTGACAGACACACACATACTTGCTGACAGACACACACACAATCACTGACAGACACACACATACTTGCTGATAGACACACAACACACTCACTGACTGACAGACACACACACTGACAGACACATACTCACTGAAAGACAGACTCACATACTTGCTGACAGACACACACTTACACACACATACTTTTCATTATTGCTCCTTACCTTATGGAGCCGATGGGGGACATCTCCCTGGGGTCCTTCTAGCTCCTCACTGCTTTCGTGCGTGGTTTAGTGATGCTTGGTGCCGGAATATGACGTCATATTCCGGCGCCCAGATTCACTTCAGTTGGCGCACGTGAGGGAGCAGTGAGGAGCAGGAACACTGAGCTCCCTCGCGGCCTTCCTCCCCGGCAGGGTAAATGTTAGCAGAGTAGGCGCCTGCAATATGGGGAAAGCAGGGGCCTACTCTAACACTGAGCATGTACTCGCGGCTAGCCAGGCCACAAAGATTGTCCTTGTGGGCCGCGAGTTTGATGTGCTTGGTGTAAATGATAGAGAAATTATGATTCCTCTTTAAAGGGACATTACTTGCATTAGCAAAACCAAGTAAAATTGTTCATACAGGAACCTTTTATAAAGAGACATATATAAAAGATAATTTAGCAATGCATGTTTTCTAATAATCTGCTATTTTATTGTTCTGACAGAGGAGAAGCTTGACGTTCCTGTTTGCAGTACCTCTGGTAAGTATTTATATACACACGTCAGTAAATGATAGAATTGTGAAGTCCCCAGCAGGTACTCAGCCAGTTTGTCCATCTCCCTGCTAGCGATATGTTGCCCTTTTAAGAGTTCTCGAGTAGGGCTGCATGAAAACTCAGATTACCATGAAGAAGGTATCCATAGTATTACCCTTTGCAGAAGTATTTCCCGTTTTAATCAGAACATTCTCAGCTTCTGTAATTAACCCCGTCATGAGGTGTCAGGCCACGTGTGTTAAGATTGCGCAGTGATTGCCCTCACCGGTGTTGGAAGAAACATTTCAGGGTACCATTACACAATCCATTTAGAAGGTGGTACCAACACCTAGACTAGAGTTGTGCACACATGCGTTTCTGTTTACTATGAACTAATCAAACGCCTTTTAATCTGCGTCCGAACAAATTGATCTGTCTGGGATTGATTTGTGGAGATTTATTCAAAGAACAGTCAAGATTTGTAATATTTTTATCACCATAATTGTTTTTTTTTGTATATTTGGCATAAATTGTTGGTGAAAATACATTTAATTTTAATTTGTGAAAATCATTTCTGTATTGTTTACCAGATTTGGGAATTTTGTGATCATGTGGGAAGAATTATATTTTAAGGATTATTAAACCTATATATTATCTTTTAACAGCCGTCTGATGAACCTACTTGGATGAACCTGTCCCCCTCGGAGTTAGCCGTGTCATTTATCACTGACGTTGATCTAGAACACTGTGGATTTAGATTATTTTAATATTCTGTTAGAATGCTCTGACAGTGGGCATTGATATTAACGTAATATCAACATGATTCCAAAACAACCTGCAGAAAAATTGCTTTGGTTCATAACATGTGGTGGCATCGCTGTTAACCTGTTCTATGTATTAAAGTACATATATCTGACCTGCCTTAATTTACACTTGAATTGCCATCGTCCTTCAGTATCCATTGCCTGTATAGAGACACAGCGACTCAGGGTTACAATGTGTAAAGTCCAGCTCTCGCCAGTGATGTTCAGATCTCTCCATCTTGTCCCATTGCCCGTGTGTAGATTAGTATATTCTGGGTGGTTGTAGAGGGGGGTTGTTGTCATTTACTTCACTGTTGCCTGAGTTAGCAAGGGACGCTACTTGTATGTAATGTAAATGTTGTGTATACATGTGTGTGTATTTCTAAATAAATGCTCAGTGTAGTGAACAAGTCTCTGTAATATTTATATCCTGGTTGGAAATGTGGTAACGAAACGGAAATTAATAAATGAGAAATATTTCCACTATTGCCATAAATGCATCGATTTTACAGGATTTGCTCCAGTTACCATCGATTAATAAAACCGTATGAATTTAGCCTTAAGAAAACAAATATAGCCCAGGGCACAGATACAAAAAATGTAATTATTAAAGAACATTGTGAACTATTGACAAACAATTCATTCTGATTATCTGAGAATAGAAACACATATCGAAGGAAGCGGCAATCTTGTTCTCAAGTTTCCACAACGTAAGCGTTTACTCACTAAACAGTTATTTAAGGTGAACTGAAAAACCAATCCTTGAACAGGAAGTCCAAGGCCATCATAAGCAGACGGACTCTGAATGGACTTGACCAGCTCTGTCATATGTCCTACTTCTGTCTGACCACTCGCTGTGTCACCGAGGAACATGTAGTGAGAGGGTTCCATTAATGTTATTTCATAGTTACTTACTTGTGCGAATTGCTGGACAAATGAATCGATTCGCTCCCATGTGATAACCGCATCAATTTGTTCGTCCAGCAGTTAAAGGGACACTCCAGACCCCTAAAGCACGTTAGCTTGATAAAAGCTTTATGTGTGAAGTGTCTCTTTTTTCATTTTATATAAAGTGCAGATTTTAGTAGTTATTAGCACTTTTATACATTTACCTGGTTACACCGCCCCTTGCTGTCAATCACACACCAAGTCCTGTTTCTTCCTGGTTTGTTTAGCTTAGTAGAACTAAAATCAAGAGGCAGCAATTCCCAGAGCACATGCCTTGCAAAGACTCATTGAGCTGCATTAGGAAGCCTGTGATTGGACAGACACAGAAAGTCTGGGCACGGTTAGAAGAAAACTGCACCTTTTGCAAGCTGTTTTAAGATATACCCATTTAGTAGATGTATCCCATTTGGGGGTATATCTACTAATTAGTTATTTTATTTATTTTGTATTTGGGCAGTGAAGTATCCCTTTAACAGGCGTTTGATTTGTTCAGCACAATTGAACAGGATTAATACACAATTCTACTTTTCTAGCTTAGCTTACTCATTAAGGCATGTTCAGGATATACAGGTCCTGACAATCAACTTTTCCACTCCCCAAGGATCAGAGCCAATCCAGGCTAAGACATCTCTATTTAAATACAGCCCTAGCTTTCCACGGTACCTTTGCATTCGTTTTTTTTTGTTTGTTTTTAATGAAATATTATAACTTTCTACACTTCTCTACCCGATACAAATGCCGCCTGATCACAGTGGACTAGTCCAGGCAAAAGGGCCCTTAGGCAAAGAGCCAATATTTTAGTGAAAATGTTTAGATCTGCATTTTTTAAGGATATCGGTCTGTAACCTCCGCAGCTAATAGGATCCTTCCCTGGCTGTGGTATGTGACTGATCACCTGGCACCCCGACTGGGTATCTCCGCCAACAGATGCTCCCTAGCTGACGCTGAAGACCGTAAGAACCGCATCAGACACCACAAGCACCGCAGACTCCACAACCGCCGTAGCTTAGCTGGGATCTCGCCGTCTTCCTCCTACCCTGGACCAACCTCTGAAAACCAGGACCGTGTGGGAAATACCTCTCCTACTCCAGACAGCGGAGGGCCGCCACCAGAAATTTTGGTGCCCCTAACTCAGCTCAGGGTCTGGGCCCCCTGGGGCCCACCTCCAATCCCACCCACAGGGTCCGCCTCCAAATCCCACCCACAGGAATACACACACACAGACACAAACACACACACTGATACAAAAGGACACAGATACACACACACAGATACATACTAACAGACACACATACTGAAACAGACATACACGCATATAGGCATACATACTAACACACACATACACAAATATACAGACACACAGGCATACATAGTGACAGACAGACACATACTAACATACATACAGACACACATGCATGAGGACATACAGACACATACATACATATATACACAGTGACATACATACAGACACCGACATACATACACACATACATACATACACAGAGACATACATTCATAATGACATACAGACATACATACATTCATACATACATATATACATACATACAGACATACTGACAGACATACATACATTCATAAAGACAGACATACATCCATACATATACAGATATACATTCATAATGGCATACAGACATACATTCATACTGGCATACATGCATATATACAGACATACTGACATACATACATACATACATACATACTGACATACATGCATACTGATATCCATACACACATACGTTCATAATGACATGCAGACATACATTCATACTGACATACATACATATATACATACATACATAATGACATACAGACATACTGACAGACATGCATACAGACATACATTGATACTTGCATACATACATACATACATAATGACATACAGACATACATGCATGCATACAGACACACACATACAGCTCATTTTTCAGCCACCCTAATGTTTCTTACCTTTTCTTTGCAGGATGGTGGCTGGGGCTGATAGGAGTCTGCTGGTTTTCCCTCTTCACTGCCTGGCTGACTCTCCTCCCGTGAGGAGTGAGCTGGGAGGAAGTGACCACATCCTCCCAGCAGCACTTGCTGCGGCTGCGTTTTTTTTTTTTGTTGAGGGGCCCGGTGGCGCTATTACACGGCCACAGCGCTGACCGGACCCCTGAAGATATAGGGCCCATCGGGTGGCCCTAAGTGTTTGGGCAACCCGATGGGCCCCATCAGCGGGGCCCGGACAGACAGATGGTTGTCACCCCCTGATGGCGGACCTGAGACAGCGTAGCAGGAACAGTGTAGCGGAGCGGCAATATTAAATCCCACGAACTCCGCTGGTAAAGAAGGTAATCCACAGTCAAGCACTGAAAAGTAAGGCAATGTCCCAAATCCCCCAGTAACTGGAGGAAACACAGTTCTGGGAGTCAACTGAGGTTTTTATTCACAGCATCCAGTATTTATGCAAGTCCCCATGCAAGGGGTTTCCATACTGTCATAACAGGGGTAATACAGTAGGGGACTACATGGGGGACTTAACATTCAGACCTTTTCTCCCATCAGGCATTGCTGCACGAGAGGGATACTCCCACTCAGGGGCGTATCTAGAGCATTTGGCACCCGGAGCGGATCCTGTGCTTGGCACCCCCTTGCCCCCCCCAAAATCCCCGCCCTCAGCGCCAGTGTGGCTCCGCCTCTGATTTTGCTTAGCTCCGCCCTGTAACGAGCGCTTACCTTTCCCCGCCGGTCCCGCGCAGCGTGGGGTCCTCCTCCAATACTTCTGGGGGGCGGCTCAGCTCTTCTGATGCCGGCCACTCGGAACACGCCAACCTTTATGACGCGGCGCATGCACACCGACGTCAGAAGGAAAATGCAGCCAAAATTCAAACGTGGCCACGCTCCCGGACTTTTTGGGGGCGTGGCTTCAAAATTAAAGTCAAAGAACCCACACTATAAAAGGGCTATCATGACACTTGTCAGATGCCCTAGTGTGGTTCTTGTTTAAAGTCCCCTAGTGCTATTTTCTCTGCTTGTCCTTCTTGGTATTTGACCCTTGGCTATCTCTCCGACTATTCTGTTTTCTGGTTTCCCGTTACTTGGCTTGGATAATCGTGTGCCCGTCTTCCGTATTCCCTTGACCTCTGGCTATTCCTTTAACTATTCTCAGACGCTAGTCCGGCCATTCTAAGGTCCGGTAACCGTCTTTCTGTGGGTTTCACGCTGTGTGAAGGGGTCACTGTTGTGACATTGGTCACTGTCGTGACACGCCCCACTTTTCCTCCGTGCGGCCAGTTTATCAGCTGTTTGCTTGTGTGAGCTGTACTTTCCGCACGGCACCCTAACTACCATGGGGCACTGTGCGGCCACAGCTCACACAGCCCCCTCTAGCCAGGGCCGGTGCAAGGATTTTTGCCACCCTAGGCAAAAGTAAAGTTTGCCGCCCACCCCCATGTGACATCACAATGCCCCACCCATATGATATGCCATGTTAACTAACGCCAGTGCTGCAGTGCCGCAGTGTTTACATTAAAAGGCCTGCAGGGACAGGCTATCGACACCAGAACCACTACATTAAGCTGAAACACAGCCAACACCTATCTGGAAAAGAAGCTAAAAGGGGAAGAAAAAAAAGAAAACCCCCCCAGTCAGGCAGAAATCTTTAAGGAACTGCCACTTACATCAACAACAGACAGGACAGGATCCATCCATGGGAAAGCCAAGAAGCCCAGAACTTATGCAGCAGGTAGGTGTAACCCTTTTTTGGGAATTACCACCACAATGGGTCTGGCACATCCAGCTGCTATCTGTAGGATCACTGGAGAATAGCTTCCCGGTCGCTGAGGGGAGAATCCTCCAGGGGGTCGCCCTTGGTGAGGTGCCATGTCCTGAGGCTTCCATGGGGAGAGAAGCTGAACTCCCCATGGGCTAGGGGTAATATTAGACCCGAGTAAGCCACAAAATAAAAAAGAATAGGTAAAACATCCTATGTCCTATGAGAAGTGGACAGGAAAAAAAGACTGAAGGGACATGGGAGGAAGTTTCTTTAATTAATTAATTCATTAATTAGGAGGTGGTTCCTGTACAGTTGAGAAGGGGAGGAGCTATACCCATACATAGTGCTGCCATGGATATATCCGGGGAAATTTGTAATTTACAGTTGTGGGTGTGTATGTGTTTATTTAAACATATATTTTCCTTTGTCTTGCCCTACATCCTAAAGCTAATTGTTCGCAGCCACACTCAACATTGTTGGCTTAAATGTTATTCACCTATCTGCTTATCTCTAAATTCTCTCTGTTATTTCTGCTCCCCCCACCCCCTTATTTTATTGATACTCACCCGAATGTCTTGCTTGACCAATCGTCACCTCCTTTGTGCATCTCCATTATATAACTTTATTGCAACCCTCTTTGACCCTATCATTTCTGTCTTTCACATTCTGAGTTAAAAGTTCCCTGCTGGAAACCAGAACAGTTCCCAGTTTTCCACCCACCCCCAGCTTTATTCCATCTATAGATAGACAACAATAACATTTAGTGATAGTTTACTCAAATGGAACATCAAATGTATCAGTAATCAAAACCTTTAGTCAACAAGCGAGACATTCCAGTATGTCATGTGTAGCGGAGAGCTGGTCTCTCACAGACTATCTCCACTGGTAATCCAAGAGAGGCTCAGGAACAAGTAGTAAAACCCAAGAGAATAATATCTGTGGTTAGTAAAGTAATCCAAAAAGTATCCCATCACGTTTCCCAATGACTGGACGACACACAGCATCAAGAGCAGAACTAACTTTTATTCCACGCAACCTTCTTTTAAGCATTTCTCCCATGCAAGAGAGACACCCACAATAATTAGTACAGTGACCAATCCTTTACTTGTTACTTCCCATACATCTCCTCCCTCCAGTATGACACATAATCCACTTATACAGTATATGGTATTACCCGGTTTTCATATGTACCCCAAATATATTAGCTACAATGTTACATTTTATATCCCCTGGTAGCCCTGATCTGGGTGAGCAACATATAAAAAGATCACCCAGATCAGACCAGGGGTTCGGGAGTTAGGTGGAAGTAGCAATTTGACCGACCGCACACGAGGCAGTAGCCGAAAGCACTTTCATGTGTTTTGGCCTTGCGGTCAGTCTTTTTTCGGGGCGTAAAAAGCATGAAAATCCCTGCCATTCAGGGCTGAGCTGGGGTTCGGATGAATCCCCTTGTTCGGGAGATTCATTTAAACGAATGATGGCCTGATTCGTGGTTCTGTTCGGTAGTTCTGGAGCCCTGGTGATCTTAGCGGTGTTCGGGTAATCGAGTGTCCGATTTGGGTTCCAGACACTCGATGACCAAACACCACTGAGCGTTTGGATGTAAGATGGCCGCCACCACGTGTTCGTATGCTGAACGGCGGCCACCCAGCAAGTCCACACGGAGGGGTTACTCAATTGCCGATTAGCTGGTGGTTACAATGAATCAATGGGGTAAACGAGATGCACACTTATCCCTAGGGTTGTCTGATTGTTCGGTATTTTCATTCGTATGATGAACTGAGTGATTTTACCGAACAATCAGACAAATGCTGCATACAATATGAATACACATAGCAGGAAATTAACGAAAGCACATTTTAACACACAATTTTGGCAGACAGCCCAATGCAATCCGCTACATCATGTATTTAGAGTGTTCATTACTCTGGAACCCAGGAGGTCATCAGGACCATCTTACCTGCATCCTTCGACATTGACACATCTATTGGTGTCACAACTGATACCCACTGTATCTCCCTTCATATATCTGAGATACAATGTTACCCTGTCCACCCACAAGAGATCAGTCTCTCCATTTACGTCCAAGCAAACAGAGATTGATAGCCATCAGTCAGTTATTTGTATATATCGTGACTGTAAGCTTGATGACAGGGTCTTCACACATTGCCTATACATTTTCTGTTGCATCGGCAGGTGTAATGACCTCATAACATATATTTCTTACTACAACATTCAGAGAGACAAATTACCCAGAGAGCTGTATATTTTATTTCTGAAAATACTTTAGTGCTTTAAACATTTACAAAATTATGAATATATAAATCGGCAACATAAAAATTATAAAACAACAGTTCCTTATTTATTAGTAATTACACACAAATGCTGAGATTTTACAAAAACACAATTTCTGCTAAAACAATGCGTTTCAAGTAGAAATTCCCTTACCTGAATAATCTTCACCTGTACCTGCATCAAACTCACTGTCTGAGAGCCCAATATTTATTTATTTATTTATAAAATATTTTACCAGGAAAGATACATTGAGATTTCTCTTGTTTTCAATATGTCCTGGGTCCACAAAACATTGCATTGTTACAATTCTTCAATCATAAAACAAAGAGAAGATACTGACTTTGATAAAGTAATCTTAAAAACATTAGTGAGCACTAATCTGCACTAATAATGTAACGGGACAAGCCGAGTCCTCGAGTCAAATGAAAATTAGAAATATAAGGTTTCGAACAGTAGAAGCTATGATTAAAATCACTCCAATTCTAGATCTATAGAGCATTGATTCTCAATCCAGTCCTAACGGTACTCCAACTGCCAGGGTTATATCATCATGCCAATACATGGACAGTTACTGAAATGTCAATTGTTGGGAATTCAAAGACAATTTCACATTTTACGCCAAAATAGCCAAACTAAAAAGAGACCTGACTTTTCCAAATCTGCTGTTTTGGACAAAAGTTTGGCATTTACTTTGAATTCCCTCCAATTTATGATGTAAATGATAACCCTGATGGACACGGAATTGGTAAATGCCTAAACCTTAGCCAGTTATTAGATCGAAGCATTACATTTATCAATAATAAAAGCCAACAGATAATCCAATATTTGATTAATTTGCAGTATTCAGTACTCGGGGATGGCCCGGGATACTGGGAAAGTATCATAAATCACAGATACATCTTCTAATCTCCATAATGTGACCCTATGAGATCTGTGAAATAAGAATGATTCGTTTTATTGCTTGGTTAAAATGAGTAGTCACATGTTAAGAAGTATAAAGGAAGTGGACGGCAGCCAGACACAATACAATGAGAAGATAAATGTTTCCTGGGCTGGACATGATTCCTGTGGAGCCTGTAGGAAATAAAGAAATAACGCAGTTAAAGGCTTTGTCTATGTAAGCGTTGACCATATATTGTTATGAATAACAACGGTAACATGATTGGTGGAACGAATGTAGCAACATTTATCTGCTAAACAATTTACTGATTAGTACAGATATATTAGTGGATTCCAAAACTTATACATTAACTATTATCAACATTAAAGTGTAACATTAATAAAAGTTTTTAAGAAAGAGGAGAATGTTTGTAATTGACCTAAATTAATAATGACTAATTATGCATTTATTTGTGAATGAAGTGGGTAAAGTTGAACTCTTCATTTAATCCCAAAGGGGATAAGGTCTTACATTTATGTATCCATCTGGATTCTTTTCTTAATAGGGTGAGATTATAATTACCCTTTCTAGTGTTCAGGTGGATACGTTCTAAAACCTGAAACATAAGATGAGAAGCATCCGAGTTATGGAAGTTCCTTATGTGATTGGAGACAGGAGTGGAAATGTTTAGGTTTGAGACTGAATTCATATGTTGTAGGATTCTCCTTCTCAGTTCTTGGAAGGTTTTTCCTATATATTGTAGCTTACAGCTACAAGTGATGATATAAACTACTTTTGTAGTACTGCAATTAACAAAATCATTAATCGGATGTGTTTTCTGCGTATTGGTACACAAGACTAATTTTGATGGTTTAATAAACCTACATTATTATTATTGCCATTTATATAGCGCCAACAGATTCCGTAGCGCCTTACAATATTATGAGAGGGGGGATGTAACTATAAATAGGACAATTACAAGAAAACTTACAGGAACAATAGGTTGAAGAGGACCCTGCTCAAACAAGCTTACAGACCATAGGAGGTGGGATATTAGAAACGTTAGGACAGAAAATATCAAATAGGGTGTGAGTGAAGCAGAGCTGGAGGAGAGAGTAAAGGACTTTCCTATAGGAGAGAGCAAGAGACAGGTATGTAAGGTAGAGATTACTTTGGGAGGCTTTCCTGAAGAGATGGGTTTCAAGGCCCTTTTTAAATGATTGAAGACTAGGGGAGAGTCTGATGGCAGCAGGCAAGCTATTCCATAGGAAAGGAGCCACCCGCGAGAGGTCCTGCAAGTGTGAGTTGGCCATACGGATGCGAGCAGCCGTCAGGAGGTGGTCACGGGCAGAGCGGAGGGAACGAGGAGGGGCATACCTATGGATCAGTGAAGAGGGGCTAGAATTGTTCAATGCTTTAAATGTATGGGTTAGTACTTTGAATTGACTCCTATAGGATACAGGGAGCCAATGTAAGGACTGGCAGAGGGGTGAGGTGTGAGAGGACCGACTAGAGAGGAAAATCAGTCTAGCTGCAGCATTCATTACAGACTGTAGTGGGGCAATACGGCTTTTGGGGAGACCAATCAGGAGAGGGTTACAGTAATCCATGCGGGAAATTACTAGAGCATGGACAAGCTCCTTGGTGGCATCTTGCGTAAGAAAGGGGCGGATGCGGGCTATGTTTTTGAGTTGGAACCTACAGGACTTGGCAACAAACTGGATGTGAGACTCAAAGGTGAGACCAGAGTCAAGTATGATGCCAAGCGCTTGCAGGGATGGACTTAGGTGGATATCACTGACTTGAAGGGAGAGCAAGAGAGGAGGATCAGTATTAGGAGGAGGAAAGACAAAGAGTTCAGTTTTAGAGAGATTGAGTTTCAGAAAGCGTGAGGACATCCAGTCAGATATGGAAGAAAGGCAAGCAGTGACACGTTGCAGGACGGCAGGGGAGAGGTCTGGAGAGGAGAGTGTCATCAGCGTACAGGTGGTAGTGAAATCCAAAAGAGGCAATACATTTACCAAGAGAGGCAGTATAAAGAGAAAATAGAGGGGGACCAAGGACAGAGCCTTGGGGAACTCCAACTGAGACAGGATGAGGGGAGGAGGTATCCTTGGAAAAGTAGACACTGAATGAGCATTGGGAGAAATAGGAGGAAAACCAAGAGAGGACAGAGTCACAGAGACCGAGCGATTGAAGAGTTTGAAAGAGGAGAGCATGATCAACAGTGTCAAAAGCAGCAGAGAGGTCAAGGAGAATTAATATGGAGTAGTGACCTTTGGATTTTGCAGAGATTACATGCCTTGCACTTCCCACATCTAAAAATTCCCTTTGTTTCTTGCAGCCATGTCTTAGATGATGGTTTTGGTTCAAGATGACTATGAACTAGTAGATCACGTAGGTTATTAGCTCGCCTTGCAGTGATACTTGGGAATGTAGAAAGTTTAGTGGCTACCTCTTTGTTGTGGGTGAGTATTGGCCAATTATCTGCATCGATTTTTCGGATAGGATTCCATAGTTGATCATAAGTGCCTATACATATAATTGTAGGTTTAGTATCCTTCACTTTGTAATTTCTGAGACTCGCGCGTCAGGGGTTCTGGACACATTATTGGCGTTGGCATCCAACTCTCCGCTTACCAACTGCGATATTACCGACATTAAGTGCATATATGTCCAGCATCTTAACACTAATTTAGTGCACTTTGTGTATATACCTTATTTCTCTTTCTTTTTCTTATTCTTTATTATAATTTACGGGGGGAGATTGATAAGACCAAGCATTTGATTAAGGCACAAGACTCAGGAATCCTATTCTATACACCATCCTCTGTCATTGACTATATTATTTTTTCTATCACTCAGGCAGCCTGTTTGAAAACTGTCTGCAAATCTCTTGTTTTTTATATATTCGGACTTATCATTTAAATGCAGTTATCACTTAGACAATGTTTGTGACTAACAACGGGTTAACTGCTGCCTGTTAGCAGTCCTTCGTAGCTGAGCTACTAACTCTTGTTCCGTATCTCAGCTGAACCACTTTATTATTTCTGTATGGAATGTGGACCCATGTCGTTAGTATGCACTACCATGCAGGGATTGATTGATTTATTTATTAGTCTCCTCACTACTGACAGCATTGGCTTAGCAGTCTTTGAATCTCCCCCCTTCGTTACGGTTATTAGTGATATATAACACAGTATCACTTTTATAACTTGTATTGTTTTTGTATTAGAATTGATCCACCTCTACAGCCTATATCAGTAGTCACTGAGCTTTACTCGCTGTATAGTCTCCACTTACTCCTGTTGTAGAAAATAAAAAATTGTAAGAACATTTATTTTAGATTTATTTATTAAACTTTACTTTTTAAGCTTACAATTTTTTCAGCTAACTATACACAGGTAGAATGGCATTTTTTTCTTTTTTTTGTTTATTCCCTATGATATTCACCATTTAGGTGTTACCCCCCTTTTTTTGTGCATTCTACATCGTGTGATCTAAAATCAGGCTCTAGGTGGATTTTTTTTTTCTTTTTTTTCGTATAACAGGCTTAGACAGGACTTTTAGGATGCAGAAAGCATCAATGTCATTCCACGTCAATATAAATGGAGGGAAACGGGCAGAAAGTATTCCTCCGTGAATGATAATCAATGACGGGGTTATTAATGTTAGATAGAATGAGCCACAACGTCTGTATTTGCAGCCAAGATTAAGTGATCCTCTTGGGTCATTTTGCCCCACATCCCTTAGAATGCAAAAAGATCTGAAATCCTTCAGCTCTGTCTGTTCCTGTATGTCTAAATTGTCTGTTTGTAACTACTTGCTTGTTAGTCCGCCAATTGTAAGAATAATTATAATTAAAATATCAATAACATGTCTAATATCTGTGTCTGAAGCTGTCCAGGTGGCCAGAGCATTGATGTCCGCAAAATATTCCGCAAATGTCGGCATCTACTGGCCTCTGAGATAACAGTCTCGAGACTGATATTTGTTCTCTGTAGTTTGGTAGCATGTGGAATAAGATTATTACATGTGCAGTAATGATAATACTCAGTATATAAAGCCAGATAATTCCGCTATTTTAACGGCTCACTCTGTAATCTGAAACATTTTATAAAATGAATTGTGAAGGGCCTCCCACATATAAATTAACAATATAAATAAATAAATCATTAAGGGACCACTCTAGGCACCCAGACCACTTCAGCTCAATGAAGTGGTTTGGGTGCCAGGTCCATCTAGGGTTAACCCTGCAGCTGTAAACATAGCAGTTTCAGAGAAACTGCTATGTTTACATTAGGGTTAATCCAGCCTCTGGTGGCTGTCTCATTGACAGCCGCTAGAGGCGCTTCGCGATTCTCACGGTGAAAATCACAGTGAGAAGACGCAGGACGTCCATAGGAAAGCATTGAGTAATGCTTTCCTATGGACTAATTGAATGCCACGCATGTGCATTCAGCGCTGACATCAAAAGAGGGAGGAGAGAAAGGTAAGTGTTTAACGCCTTCCTACCCCTTTAGCCCAGCGGGAGTGGGACCCTGAGAATGGGGGGACCCAAAGACCTTTTAGAGCCAGGAAAACAAATTTGTTTTCCTGGCACTATAGTGGTCCTTTAAGTAAATAACAGACATATATTTGTACATAGATATTAAAGGGACACTGTAGGCACCCACACCACTTCAGCTAATTGAATTGGTCTGGGTGATGTGTCCCTTTTGCAATTAGTGCTGCAATGTAAAACATTACATGGCGGCACTAAGTCTGCTTTCAGTGGCTGTCTACCATAATGTCTACCAGGGGGCGCTTCCGGAATCGTAGCGGACGTTTGGTCCGTTATCTAACGATGGACGTCCTCACGCTCTGAACAGGGACCTCCAGCATCAGACTTTCCCCATAGGGAAAATTAGACCCCGCTCGTCGCGGAACGGAGGAGAGGGCGAAGCTTCAACCCAGTGCTGAGGGATGTCGGTGCTGGGATAAGTAAATAAAGGGTTTTTAACCCTTTATTTACAGAGTAGGAGGGGGTGCAAGGGAGGGGGGAAGCAGGGGGATCGGTAGTGCCAGGAATACAGCTTTGTATTCCTGGCACTACACTATCTCTTTAATTACTTAATTTGTGACTCGTGTTTTATACCGATAGTAAAAATAAACTTGCCTGAAGTATCCCTTTTGCGATCCAATGGCAATTTAGGAGTGCTGCGATCCAATGACAATCCAGAAATGCAGTGATCCAATGACAATCTAGATTTGTCACCTGATAAAAAAATACATGTAAAATTTAACAATTCCACTTTGTATAGCAGTACTGATTGCAACCACACACACTATTATATAGAAACAAGAAGAAAAAGGCAGGTTGCGTCCAGTAGATAATATTGGTGCAAATATCACAATACAAAATGTAGGACTGTTTAGGATTTTATTACATTGTAATATCTGCACTATTATCTATTGGGCGCAACTTGTCCTTTTCTGCTTTAACGTCTGTAACGGACCGTTTCTCTCACAAGGGGATAAAATCGGTTTAGGCGATAATCCCCTTTCCCATAGACCAGCAGCTACTGCAATCACCAACCTCCTGAACTCCAAACCGCACGTATTCACCAACTCTCGAACAGCAGACACAGGAACCCTGGAAGCAGCCGAACAGGAAAAGCAATACAAACGGCTTACACTCCTGGCAGTCAGCACACAATCCAATTCCCCCAATAACGAGACGACACTTCGTTTTGAGGGTTAAGCAGAACCTGAGGTGCTGGCACACCCAGCCTGGTTTTTATTACAGTCTTGCAAATACAGGACCGCCCACAGGGAGGTATAAAACAACCAATCACGTCACAGTTACATCCCACATATTCCCTCCCCTTATCCTGAGAGGAAACTCAATTATACATACAGTTAAAACATACTTTCTACCCAACTTTCATAACTCTAAAACCATACATCACATTCACATAAAATTACACATTCACAATCAATCCATTCAGGGGAACAACATATTCAAAAATGGCACAAATCAGACAAGGGGTTCAAAAGTTAGTAAAAAGTCCTTTGTGACTAAATGAAGCATGGCTTTCTGGCCCAAACTAGTTTCAGAGTCTTCTATCCTGGAGATAAGTAATTCAATTATCTCCCAGGACAGACACAAGACTCCATTAAGCACATGGTTGCAAAAGACACAAAACACTTTAAAATACATAAAGTCACCTTTTATACATAAAACACAGACATTTCACATATCCCCAGATAGCTCAGGTCTGAGCGCACATTATTAAGTGAATGGCGCTCAGACCACACGAATACAGTTTAATCGCCATGGAGCCAAAGTCTTTACAGTCAGTTTCATACAAATGGGCTCCATGGGATTCCTATCTGGGGTATAACACATTCAAACACATCTACCGAACCCCAGGCAGAAAAGCACGAATACAGCTTTTCTGCAGGCAAAAATAAAGTCTTTTAAAAGGGGGCCATAGTCAGATGGCAGGAGGCTGGCAACCAGGCTTCTCCAGTGCACAGTGGCGAGGTTGGTTTCGCCACAACGTCCATATCTGATTTGAGTTTGCTGCCCTGCTTTGAGTCAGCGCTGTGTTATCCCACTATTTTATTATATTTTATATAAAAATACTATAAAAAATTAAATATGCTTCAAACAGGATATTAGAGAGACAAAGAGAATGATGGTGTATTGAAGACTTCTGGAGACACCATAATAAACCACGAGACTAGGTCTCCAGAACCCAAGAATGAATAGAAAATACTATTCCGGTGGAAACGCAGTGATCCAATGCCAATGTAGATTCTTCACCTGATAATAAATATATTTATTCAAACTGACTATGAATATTCAACCTCCTGTACCATTACTGAGTGTGACCATTAAAGGATAGATTAAGGCTGAGTGGTGAAGAAAATCCTCCAAACTCCTGAGATGACAATATGTTCCCCTAATACAATCTTCTCCATTACATATCCACACCTCCCAACATAGGAAGGAACGTAAACTTGAACCAGAGGGGGGGACTAGAGGGAGGCACACCAGGGATTCATTACAACACGCAATTTATACAAACATACACATTTATAGTTCGGTCAATAACAATGAAATTCTCATTGTGATCGTTCTGAGTCTAGAACATTGTAAGACGATCTCCTTACCTCTCACGTAAGCACAGTTGTAATTGCTGCATTTTTTCCCAGTGCTATTCAGACTAAATGTAGAGCCCTCATTCTCCAAGTAGAAAACTTCATACCCTGGGACCACCACCGTGTTTTCTAAAGGGTACTGTGAGAAGTTCTGGATGCGGACCCCAAAGCAGCTTGTAAGGGTGAAGCTCTCGTTGCTGTAGGAAGTTCCATCATCTAGGAATGGAGATAAAAACTGTCCAAATTTGACAATGTCTGACCCATTTGAAGGTTCAAACATCACCCCAAGTTCATCTTCATAAAAGAGATTTTGGCAGCTATCGCCTGATAGAAGCTGAACAGCAACAGTCAAGTAATAGTGAAGACTTTTGAAATGAAAATCTTCCATATAATATTGATATGATTTGCCAGCCAATCTCAGTGCATCATTAAAGTGTTTTCTGATAAATCCTGAGTAGGCCACTAAGGCGATTCCATGATTATCCTCAAATCCCTGGGGAAGGTTGGTTAATACTGTGGCTTTCTTTTTTGTATGCCAGATGGTTTCTGCTCCTTCCCATGCTCGTCTGAATATTTTATTTTTTTGTTTTTCTTTAGATAGAATGTCGTTAGAATTCAACACTTGTTCCATATCTTCCTGGCACCCAATATACTGATCGTCGAATGCCACCTTTGCCAGGTCCAAAGTGCGATATTCCTAAAGAAGCAGAAAAATAACTGTACTGTATATAGATACATAATAAATGGCCTCTGTTAAGTAAAGCATATCAAGAGACATGTTAAGCAACCATTACAGCCCAGGTTTGTGGTTATGGTGTCTGTAATCTCTAGAAATCATCCTCACAAACTCTGTTGAATCATTGGGGAGCATTTTGGTGAAAAAATTGGGCCATCCTCTGCACCTAAATACAGCCCTATTCTCAGCCACATTGAAAATGCAGAATTTCCATTTTCACGTTATAAATTTCAATTTAGTACAACATGGATGTCAGTGAAAGGCAGTGTAACCTTTGTGTTTATCTTGAGCATATTCTCCCAATGAATACACCTCAACAGAAGATGATGGTACAAAAATATTTACACAAACTTTTCCCCACATCTGCAATCGTCCTGTGAACACTACTCCTATCGTGGCCATTTCCAAGCAATAACCCTTCATTTTCCTCCCTTGATTTGGGTTCTGTCATTTGTTCTATCTACCATTTTTGTGCAGAAAATGTCACCCTCTTTTTACTAAATCCCTTGAGATACTTTTGGTCATGTCCCCCATGCCACCGCTGCTTTGTTTAAGCTGTCACCTCCTGCTATCATAGGCGTGTGCACAGGGTGTGCCTGGGCGTGGCACGCCTATGTATATTGAGACCAGCTGGGGAGATCTCAGGATCTCCCCTGTCGGCTCATGCAGAGCCGGCGCTATCCGAGCGCCGGCTCTTCTCTCAGCCTCCCTCCCTACCGACCCAAATTCAGGGAGGGAGGCAGGAGAGGACCGGCGGAGCTATTGCCGGCAGCTCCGCCGGGTTCCTCTCGCGAGATATGAGCATTGCCACGGCAATGCTCAAATCTCGCGAGAGTGAACTCTAGCCCCACAGGGGATAGAGTTCACTCTCCACTGGACCACCAGGGATGGAAGCAGCAGCAACAAGGATCCCCCCTCCCTACAAAAGGTAAGAAGGGAGGGGGGATAGCAAGTAATGTACCCCCACAATCACCCACACACATACAGCACACATACAGCACCCACAGACATACACAGCACCCACAGACATACAGCACCCACATACATACACAGCACACACACAGCACCCTCACAAACACACACAGCACACAAACAGCACCCTCACACACACACAGCACACTAACAGTACCCTCACAAACACAAACAGGACCCTAACAAACACCCACACACAGCCCACTACCAGTACCCTCACACACAGTACATTAACAGCACCCTCACAAGCGCGCACACACACACAAACAGCACCCTCACAAGCACGCACACACAAACACCCTCACCCACATAGCACACTACCAGCACCGTCACACACACATCACACTAACAGCACCCTCACACAGCAGTATGTGTATGTGTGTATATATGTGTGTGTGTGTGTGTGTGTATATATATATATATATATATATATATATGCGGCGTGTGCTTGTGCTTTAGGGTGCACACTTTAATGCAATAGGCTGCGCACACCTATGCCTGCTATATATTATTACACAGACCTTCGATTATTTTTGTTGGAATTCCATGTGCATGTATGTCTTTTGGAGATAGGATGAATTAGAAACGGGTGTCTAGACTATCAGTAACATTAAAAAACAATGTTTCACGCAGATTATGTAAAGATACCTGTGTCAGTTGACTTGATGCCATAGTTACAATTTGTTAGAATGCAGTCTGATTTTTTTTTTTAATTCCTATTGACTGAGGATTTGAATGAATATCTGCCAGATAGAGATTTGTCTTTCTTCCAATTAAGGGAGTGTAGATACTTATCAGCACTGACAATGACTTACAAAAGGGAATTTTTTTCTAATTTAATTTTGTATAAATTTTTAGTTGCAAGTACAATACAAAATATAACTGGACAGAGAATCAATGATGTTAATGAAATATATTAAACAGAACATTACCAGTGTCCTATACATGCATTCCTAGCTACAGCTCCACATTGGAAAAAGTAAACAGAAAAAAAACAGAACAGAAATCATATAAAAATAGACAAAAGAAACAAATTCAAGAAGAGTGTCGAGAAACGTCTGTCATATTTGTGAACCTGTAGCCATAGAATGAGTGAGTCTCTGTGCTCCCCATCACACTGAGTGAGATGTAAATTTTTAATCTCAGAAAAATCATAGTAAGAGCTTGTTACAGACAGACAATCGCCAATTTACTGCCCACTAAACCAGGAGGATGAAGATAGGACCAGCATAACACTTTCCTAATGTTTACAGGTGTTAGAGAGAATTTATTATGGTTTGTAAAGGCCCTGGGGAGATAGCGCAGCTAAGCGGACAAGGGCACATGTAGGAGTGTGGGGATAGATGCATGGGATTGGTTGGGAAAGAGTGTGTGGGTGGGATAATGTTCTGTGTAAGTTAGTGTGGGGGAGGTCTCACCGCAATGCCACTTGGGATTCGGGCCAGCAAACAGCTTCCCTCCCGCCCGCCCTATTGGTATATTTAGTCACAGCTAGCCGGGGGTATGTCCTTGCCAATTGAGTTTGAGTGGTTACGTTTAAGTATATGGAATGAGATGAACACGTTTTTTAGGTCTCAACCTCCCCTTCTTAAAAGGTTAAACATTAGGTTGCCTGAGGTGTCGTGCCCATCGAGCGTGGATAAGGTCGGCTGATGGCGGGCATTGGAAAGATATGATTTTATGACGAGGGGGGAGGTGAGAGGAAGTGGTGATTAGGAACCACTGTATGTTTTTTGGCAAGGACGGTTGGGTCACTGTATAACACTATGGGTGGAGTTATATATGTATATATGTTAATTTATGCTTATTTATGTCTAACCTTTTGGTTACAGAAAGAAGAGATTTAATAAACAAAGTTATGGATGTGTCATGCAGTAATTTAGTTTGTGATAATAAATGATGTGGCCTGTTCATCCATACTTAGTGGTCTGTCGTTATTGGGGGGGTAAATGGGTTTAGATTTGTGCTAGGCTGCATCGCGATTCCCCACTACGTACATACAAGGACCTAGACCAGTCTACCAACATAAAATTAGGTGATAATTCCTTCTCCGATTTCAATTAATGAACGTTTGGTTGGAGGTTTCAGGATTAATATTAACTTAGAACTTTTTGTAATTACATATTTGTATTTTTAGTGGACAATGACATAACTTTCCAGTTGTATGGTGTGTTGCAATTGTATTCAAGTTATTGTTAAAAAATGTTTTGATAACAAAGATCTTCCCTACAAATCATTACAGAAATTCATTCTAGGAACCTTATGAACTGACCTAAAAGGATGAAGGAATATCAGTGATCCTTCTCAAAAATATCATCTAAACCTACATACTGTAAGTCTAATACCTACTAACAAGATATATACAACTGGGAGTGAGCAAGAGTTTGCAAAGGGGAAGGGGACGGACCGCCTGGCACCTCGACAGGGTGCCTCCGCCAATCACTGCTCCATAGTACCTCTGAGTACTTCCAAGCACTCCACCAGACACCATCAGCACTGTAGACCCTTAGCCGCCGCAGCTTGGCTGGGGTCTCGCTGTCCTCCACCCACCCTGGACACAAGTCAGGGATCCAACTTCCAGTGGGTATACCTCTACTACTCCAGAGAGTATAGCAGGATAGCTCTTACAAGATCTAGTGATATAGCTGGTATAGCTGTTCCCTACAATCACGAGACGAGGGTGAAGTTGAACTGGTTTAATGGGAGCCACATGCAGCCTTATATGCAACTCCTCATGCAAGGGTTTTCTGGATACATATTTCAGGAGCATTCCCCTCTGGACCTGAGAGGAGACAACAGTTAAACATGCACAAAATAGGAGCCCCTGGCGAGGTTCTGTTGGCCACAGGGATGGTTTACGAGTTTCAGTTGCAAGCCACCCAACGTCGGACACAAACCGCGTGGGAATTTCCTGCACTGTCAGCAGTCAGGTGACAGCTGCAGGAATCTGGTGTGGAAGGAAGTAGTGTCTTTATTGCTTCATCGGCTTGTAGGATGTCTCCAGAAACCTAATTTGTTGGTCTCAATTTAATATTTTTAGATATGTTTTCCTTATTTAATATTTTTAAATATCCTTTCCTAGTTATTTAACATTTTTGGATAATATTTTAGAATGATTAAATATTTTGAAAAAATATATTTTTGTATTTTTATATTTTTTTAAATATTGATTTATTTTTATGTATATGCTAGGTTTTTATATTTTAATGTCATTAAATGATATTTAATTGAGTCAGTTATATTTAATTGAGTAAGTCTTCTCCCATTCATTCCCTTTGTAAATCTTTGGAAGAGGTTTGCCTCCCTTTTCACTTTGCAAGGAGGCAGAAGGCTATTAAATAATTTTGAAGATTGGTACATTAGAGAAACAAAATGGAATGTGTGCAAATTCACAAAGCAAAACTTTTTTCAGTCCATGAGTCGGTTGGACAATGCATCGTGCTGAGTAATAGAAGATGTGTAGTGCGTGACTTGAGAAGGTACCAACAAATGCAGTAGCATTGGTGACTGTGTGGGAAGAAAATCCCCAAATCTTTAATAGTCAGGAATTGTCTACCTGTGGGATATCATCAGTACTATCCAAAATATATGATGCATTTTTATTTATCCAGTACCCCCTCTTGGACCCTATCCAACAAGACACATCCAATTTAATATTTCTGGCACCGTTTGTAGAAGAATCTCAGTAGTGGCTGTGTCTCAGCTCGGTCGTGCAGTACACCGATGACATGATCATTTATTTACAGATTATAAACAGATTAGCTAAATCTCCACCATTTGAACTGGATATGTGACAAATACTGTCTGGGTTGGAGACAATGACAGCTAGACATGTATGGTGCAACTTCACTTTCCATTCAGCAGAATTGCAAGCGCTGTTATCTACAAATGTTTAGATTAATTTTATCGCAGATTATCATAAATCACCCAGTCAATCCCACTAATCAGAAATGTTTTGGAATCGTTCTTTCATTTCACCACTAGAGGTCACCAAAGAGCACACGATCCAGTCCATAACCGATTTCACATACACAGCAAAATGCATAAAACATATATAATCTCTCCATATATAAAGCTCCATGAGAGATTTTAATTTATCGTCAATCTGTTAATGGGCAGCGGCAGGTATTACAGTACCATGTGATCAATGTCCTGAGCTGACACATATATCCTTCACTCCCCTTATCTATAATGCGAGGGTTAATAATATATACTGTGTGTAAGGTATGAATAAAGACTTCTCAACCTCCAATATCATCAGGCTGAGCAGCGCTTGGTCAGATAACAGTAGAATCTGTTCCAACCTGGATGCTCGCCAAATAAAGTCATATTTTCTCCCAAATTTAAAAAAAAATAAAAATACATTATTAAAACAAATATTTCTAAGTTTCATTTAATGTAATCTACTTTTAAAAATGGAGACGAGAAAATGTGATGACTGTTGTCCTTTATATGCATCTACTGTTAAACCCCGACTTTTACCCTTTGTGTCACTATACCCCACTCCCTCTAGAATGTAAGCTCTTTGGGCAGGGTCCTCCACTCCTCTGTTCCTGTACGTCCAGTTGTCTGGTTACAGTTACATGTCTGTTAGTCCACCCATTGTACAGCGCTACGGAATCTGATGGCGCTACATAAATAATAATAATAAAATAATAATTACAAACCAGAAAAAAGAAAGCAGATATAAAAGAAATGAAATATGGAATAAATTAATGCCAGTCTCATCGCTTGGTCAGGAAATTAATGAATCAGTAACCAGAACCAATAAACAAATATAAATAAAATGTATGGGTGCTTTGTATGCCACTCCTGACAAATCGGCTAATGGCTAAACGCATGGAATTATCACTGAGAACCTCAAACCTGCTATTATAACCATTTCTATGGCATTAAAGGGACAGTGCATCAATTGCTGCACAAGGTGAACCCCGCAGCCCACTATGGTTTTATTGAACCCTAGTCCTATAGAAGGAGTGGAAACCACCCCATTGGAAACGTAGGTCTGAAGAAGGAACGAACCTGTGCTGTGACAGACGAGAGGAGGCAGAATAAGATTGGCCAGATCCTCAGGAGAAGTTCCATCCTGATCGGTCAGTCAATTAACAACCTGCAAAACAGAATCCCATTGATTAGAAAGTCTTCATACAGGAAGCAGAGGTTTAGTACTCCAAGAGTTAAAACATATTTCACTGTATTATAATCATGACTGCAGACCACTTACATTCCAGCTTTATTATTCCAACATATCAACTCAGCCAGCTTTATATCACCACCTGTCGGCTGTTGGGGTGACTACCCAACAGACAGATATACCAGATAATTCCAAGAGTCCGTACAGTCTGCCTTCTGCCATAAGCCCTGGCAGCTGCGACTCCCCAAAGCCTTGTCTTGCATTACTTGCGCTGGCCAAGACCTCCGCCACCGCGCTGCCGACCCTGATCTCCATTTGTCGGCATTGCGCCCCCCAGACAGCGCCATTTCAATTCCTCCTTGGATACCCACATTAAATATATCAAGCCCAATAGGATTCAGATGAACCCCATCTGCCCTCATTAAACTCCGATTGTCCCCTTCCAACTCCGTGTGTCGAACTGACACACCGCCCAGGCATCGAACAAACCTCGAAATCGCAACATTAAACCTCCGCCTAGCCCTCTCCAACCCTTTTGCATGTGGCAAGGCTTGCCAGCACAGACGGGGGACAATCTCTGACCACACCAAACAACACCCTGCAAATAATGCCATGCACCGAGCCAAGTCCCGCCGTACATCATGTATTAAATCCACCGTCCTTACCCTCCCTAGGTCATTACCCCCCACATGGATTACGATGATAACTGACCCAGACACAAACCTGCTGAGAGAAAAACACTCCGGGTAGATTTGGCGCCATGACAGACCCCGGATACCCCTCCAACGAACCCTTGCTAACCCTGCTAGGATCCCCAAATTCCGACCATAGGAACGTGACTCTGCCCGTCGAGCTGCCCAATAGATGAAAGAGTATCCCACAATCCAAACATACCGGGAAGAACACCCTAAAACAGAGGACAAGTTGAGGTAAATGAGGCCGCACGTACAGCTGATACCTACGAGATGACCATCTACCCAATCGCTGCACATGTGACCCCGAATATCCCAAAACACTAGCCTGTGTGGCTGCTCCGATCCTAAATGAATGAGGAGAAACCGGTTGGATCCCAACCACTTACCCAGCATCGATGCGAACTGAAAACGCCTCAATGGAGACCCATCAGACATCCGACAGCAGTAAAGGGGGAGATCGCCCGCCGGGAAGGAGCCACCAGCTCCCCCACCCGAAGCGCACCAAAGAAGCAAAAGGAGAATGCCACCTGAAGCAACAGACAGACAATCTCCTGGTGATACACAGACGGCCAGAAGAGCCGCCCACAATTGACCCAGCAAGTCGAAGGAGATCGGCCGATGTCTGTCCGGACCTCTCCGACTCCTCCAACCCCTCATAACCCTCTGTAAGCAAAACTCCCTGGTAATGTCCCTCCATCCCAAAAACCGAAACAGGAAAGACAGGGCAGACAACGCCTTGTCTGCCGCCGAACAAGACCGACCACTAGCGAGTAACGCATCCAGATACCTTAGTGATCTCCACCCTGGCCGCCTCAGACAACAGCCGCACTGAGCCATCCACCAAAGCCAACCAACCTACCCATACCGACCTGTATGCCTTCCAAGTAGGGGCAGACAAGGAGTCCGACACCAAGGACATCAAACCTCCGAAATTAGGTCCCATAAGTAGGAAGGGCAGCGGAGACCCTCGCGATCCGCTTCTGGAGCCGACACCCAAAACCGGTCCCACTGAAACCGAGAAAGAGTCAGCTACCACGTTCAGCTTCCCCGGTACATGCCGGGCCTGCATCCACACATTAAATTGCAAAGTAAGCAACACCAGATGTCACAAGAGAGCCAAAACAGGAGGAGACGCAGAAGACGATCGGTTAATCACATGGACAACACTCATATTATCCCTGTGAAAAACAACCACCCGATCCCCCAGGTCCTCACCCCACAATGCCAGAGCCACCACTATAGGGAAAAGTTCCAGGAAGGTAAGGTTACGCATAACGTCTAAATCACGCCATTCTGGAGGCCACGCCTCTGCACACCACTTGCCCCTAAAGAAGGCCCCAAACCCGACTGAACCAGATGCATCAGTGAAGAGATTCAACGCCCTGCTGTCTTCTGCTCCGCCACCGGCACTCCAAACATGTGCGCCACTGCACGGAACGCCGACAATAACTGGGCACACTCAGCCCCCTCCCGAGGACCCACAAACAAAAATCATCGAGATAATGCGTAACTGACGCAATACCTGAGAACAGGAAATAGCACAACCCATGGGAAGGCACATATCATAAAAATATGACCCTTGAAACTGACAACCCAGAAGGTGAAAACATTCCGGGTGCACCGGCAATAACCGGAAGGCCGATTCAATATCAGATTTTGCCATGAGTGCCCCTACTCCAGCTTTGCTAACCAGCGACAGAGCTCGATCAAAAGAGGCATACTGGACCCTTCTGAACTCTCTGTCAATGTCATCATTCACTGAAATCCCAGCCAGGTAGGACAAGTGATGAATCATCCGAAAAAAGCCAGCCTATTTCTTTGGGACTAGTCCCAGAGGGGAGACCCGCAAGTTAGAAAAGGGGAGAAAATCGAATGGCCCAGCCATGCGACCCAGCGCTGTCTCCTTAGACAACTTTTCACCCAACAGGGCCTCCTTGCCCTTGACTGACTGTAGATTGTCAGCCAAACGCGGCTCCGGAGAAAAAACAAAGGGGATCCAAAAACCCATGAAAAACCCTTCCCCCAGAACCACCGCGTCGTGGCGTCTAGGGTAAAGCTCGAGCCACGGCAACATCCTTGCTACGCTCACTGGAGTCTTCCCCCTTTGCCCAGTCGTCCTGCCCCCCCACCTTAGGCACAGGCTGCCTAACCTTCTTAAAGCAACGCATTGCGGGGTGAGCCCCTCCACAATGCGAGCACTCATGCCTAAACCGGCAGGAGTACCACCTGCAGTGGCTCTCATTAAAGAGCCAGCACACACTCACACTCAGGCTGCTCCTGAAAAGGGGGAAGGACGACTGGGAGTCATTATCAGCAGCCATAGGCTACCATCCTGGGTACAGAAATCTAACCCGGGACACGCCGCCATCTTTTGGCGGAACTGTTGGTCATACCGGTACCAGCTCTGTCCGCCATAAATATGCACCCCAAATAAGGTCTAGATAGCCGAACAAGGAAGGCCCCCGCTCCGGAAAACGCCTGGTTAGGATACTAGCAAACACAGCAAAACCTTGCAACCAATTCCCAAATGTCCGTGGGAGTTGCTTGCTCTTTTCCGTGTCCTGGGGATCGCCACGACGTGGCCTATCCACGGAATCCTTCTCAGGAGGGACCAGCGAGAGGAAATCTATAAACTCACCCTTTAAAATCTTATCACATTTCTCGACTGGGACATGCATGCCCAAAGGAGACAACTCACAGCCAGGTAGCGGAGGGCGGAACACCCCACCCCATGACGGCCGTCCGGGGGGAGCGCGTCATTTCCGGTGCGGCAGGAAAAGAAGGGGGACTCCTCGAGCGCTCTTCACGCACTCCGCCATCTTGGGCCCGACTCACCGACATCCTTGCAGCCCGCGGCCGCCTCCTGGCAGCTCGGGATCCACCGCTCACCACGCCATCAATGATCCTGGTGATTCTCCCAACCAGACCAGCCGCCTCACTGCCACCTCATCTCACTGGGCTTGGGGAAAGACGAGTAGGAGGCCTAGACCGCCTAGGCCTCCTACCACTCGCCAGCGATGGGCTCTCTGCCTCCTGCAGGTCCTCTCCTCTCACCTCCTGGGGTAAACCGGCCATCACCTCAGTCAGAGAGCCAGCTCCATGAGAACAAAGGTAAGCCTGCAGCATCCCAATCAGGGCATCCTTAGACACTGCAGCCATCTTAAGTAATCAGCAAACAGGCAAGACAATCCACTCCTTACACAACTTCTGAGAAAGTTTCTTTTTTTTTTTTTATTATATGGAAAGAAGGGAAAACCTGTTCCAGCCTTTCTTTCTAGGAATGGTGAGTACTTTCCCCTTGCACACATACTTATACTGCCCCATATTGCCACAATTGTATCCCATAATTCCACACCCCTTACTGTGTGGCAGCAGTCATGCCTCCCCTTCCTTACAGTCCAGGGGATCTCTTTCCTGTTTAATTAGCTTTCCGTATCCGACGTGAGGACAAAAGATTAAATTTCATGATATTAATAGGAATACCCCACCGCCATTCACATTAATCACTAAAAGCAGAGGGAGACGTATGCTTCTAATATGCTGCTTTAGAAAATTTACAAACGTTTTATCTTTTTATTAAACATATGCAGAGTTTTTCACTAAAGTGTAATTCCTCGGAAATTCTAAGTGAATTTTCCATTTTAGGCTATAGGATCAGCTCTGGTTAAATTCTCTATCAGTGTTATCTAGTGTAGTGACAATTTTCAGGAATTCATCATGAAATGTAAATTTAGGGTCAACATTTCTCCAAATCAGTTCTAATTCTAGTTTCACTACTTTGGTCTAAAATATGAAATACACTTTGAATTTATATTAAATTCTGAATGATGCTCACGTTAGTGAATAACCCTGCAAGTAAACATCTCGCGTTAGGACTGAGAATGGAAGTGGGTCCATGAGATAGATGCAGAAGCCTTAGTGCGAGCATTGAGTTGGTGACAGTGATTGGCTGAGAGCGTCAGATGATGCTCTAAGCCTATGAGCAATCGCCCCTAGCGAACAAATATTCAAACAAGTCCAGCCTTTACTCGAGATGGGCAGCTAGCCATAGGCTGAGACCACCAGCTGATACTCTCTGACAATTAGCCAATCAATATAACAGAACTCAAATTGAATCAAACTAGCCAATCAGCAACTCATCTATATATTGCAACATAAACCCTTAATAACGCTACCCCACATTACATTTCTTCACTAATCTATATTTACACCCTTCTCCTGTCCTGTGTTCACACCCGTACTGTAACGGTCACCCACAGGATTTCAAACAAGCAGCTGTATTGCTATGGGACATCTTGTCCCCCATCAAACGTCCCCCAATTCTTTAGTCCTTGTAGGAATCCTTTAAAACTGATCTACCTCACTTATGGTCTCCCTGGGCAAATTGAATTCCTTAAATTTGTCTGCCCCCTTTCTAACATTTGTCCAGGATTTAGAATTTTTTTGATAAACTTTTCAAATGTTTTCATATTTTTAAATGAACTTTTTAAAAAAAATTTGTCCTAAATATTAAAAAATATATCATATATAATAAATATATCCATATGTAAAAAAATATGAAAATATTAACATTATAAAAAAAAATTTGACATTTTTTATAATTTTAATAGTTCATGAAAAATATGAAATCATTTGAAAATCTTATCCACTTCAATTTCCTATTTTATTTATTTTTTTCTGAAAATAGAAACATTTTCAGGACATCTAAATTTCAGCTGAATTTCTGAACCAAGATTCCAATTCAGGAACTGAATCAGAAGAACAAAAATAGGTTGTAAAATGGGCCAATCAGTGTGCTGCAAAGTGTATAATAATATAATATCATGTATATATTTCACAGTACACTGTGGGGAGCGTTTTCCTGCCATTTGGTTCACAGAGCGAGTGAGAAAAGGTAACAAATAAATGGAAAACAGGAGGAGCAGGAAATAATATATATATATATTGTATATGTATTATATATTTATTATATATGCTATACATGTATTATACAATATTTACATATATATTGTATTTACTGCTCCTCTATTGGTCACGTATCACTTGATCTGTGAATAAAGTAATCATTTAGAGACTGTCCCCTAACCATCAGTCATCTTTAATTCCCATAATCTCTTTTTTTGATGTGACGGGTGGGATTCAGAAACGCAAACTGAATCGATAGTCCCAAAATCATTAGTAACGTCCTGATTAGAGTTGAGCGAACCCAAACTGTAAAGATTGGGTTCGTACCAAACATTAGGTTTTTTGGACCCCGGACCCGAACACGGACATATCACTGTATGCTCGGGTTGGAGTTCGGTGTTCGGTGATTTAATGGCGGGTTTTCAAAGGCTGCAAGCAGCCAATCAACAAGCGTTTGACTCGTGTGCCCTTAGAAGCCATCACAGCCATGCCTACTAATGGCATGGCTGTGATTGGCCAGTGCAGCATGTGACCCAGCCTCTATATATAAGCTGGAGTCGCGTAGCGCCGCACGCACATGCGGTCTTATTAGTGTAGGGAGAGGATGCTGCCGCTGATAGGGACAGATTAGGAAAGAATTCTGCAAACTAGTACATTAGTGGGGTGGGGTGCACTTCATATCTGAGAGTCAAACAGAAGCTTTAAATACCACGGTTACATCGGCGTTTTAAAAAGTAAATTTTTTTTGGGTGCTACATAGTACATTAGTGGGGTAGTACATTAGTGGGGTGCACTTCATATCTGAGAGTCAAATAGAAGCGTCAAATACTGTTGTCACATTGCAGTTTTAAACTTACAATTTTTGGGGTCCTAAACTGCTAAATTGTAGCCCATGGATCAGCGCAGCTAAGAGGAATAGGCCTTGACAGAGCCAGGAGGTAGGCATAGCAGCCACAGGAATTTAGTGACAGCTAGCATGCTGGGTAGGGCGGAGCCACAAGGGGAGTAGTAATACCAGCCATTATAGGAAGTGGCCATTTTAACTGAACCTAAGCTTACCTGTCAGTTGTGAAAGCTGCCTGCCCTGGAGGGAGAAGGCAGCAGCATGGAGGCAGCATAGCAGAACAGGCAGCATGGAGAACAGGCAGCATGGAGAACAGGCAGCATGGAGATACAGGAGAGGCTGGAGTGAGCTGCTACTACATGATCACTCCCATCAGCAGCATGGAGAACAGGCAGTACTGAGACAGGAGGCAGCATGGAGGTACAGGAGAGGCTGGAGTGAGCTGCTGCTACTGCATGCTCACTCCCATCTGCAGCATGGAGGCAGCATAGAAGAACAGAGGCAGCATGGAGGTACAGGAGACAGCATGGAGGTACAGGAGAGGCTGGAGTGAGCTGCTGCTGCATGCTCACTCCCATTAGCAGCATGGAGGCAGCATAGAAGAACAGAGGCAGCATGGAGGTACAGGAAACAGCATGGAGGTACAGGAGAGGCTGCATGCTCACTCCCATCAGCCTCAGACAGAACTCCAAGCAAGCCACCATCCTGGTCACAAAGGTTGTGGCAGAATCGTGGCTGGTGGGTGCAGGAGCAGCTGGGGGGCCCCGAGCACGTCTGCTACCCCCACCCCCCCACGCGGCGGTGGAACAGAGGCCAGCAAGGAGAGCGAGGACGCCCCAGCGGCAGCCTGTGAGTGACATCATTAGTTCGGCAGCCCGTGAGCCTGTCAGGAGGCGGCAAGGGGAATGCTGAAAATGAGGTCAGAAAGCAGGCAGGAGTTGGAGGGCCGGTGGCGCCGTATGTTCGACACGGCGCCGGTCAGGCAAGGTGGCAGGTCAGGATGAGGCCGCACAGGAAGAGTGCCCCCTGCAATAAGGCGGGGGGCGGGAAAGCACAAAGGACAGCGGAATCCAGCATGACATGATGGCCGCCAGGCAGGGAGAGCGGCAAGAGGCCCTGGTGGCATACCTGAGGGACGGGGGGAATGATGCAAGGGCCCAGCAGTGTAAAAGCGGTCCCCCCCCAATGGGCAGGCGGGGGGGTCCAGGTCGGCGGGACACAGACGGAGGTGGTCCTGGATGGGGCCAGGGTCAGGTCAGAGGTGAAGGAAGGGGGTAGTGAAAGCAGCAGGCGGAGTCTTCACAGGCGCAGAAGGGGCCACAAGTGGATGAGGCGGCCGGGGAGAGGCCAGGTACTGCAAGCAGAGGGCAGAAGAGAGGACATGGATGGGTTGAAATGGACGTAAGGCACAGAGGCAAGCGGGAGCCCCCTGGAGGGCGTTCTCAGGAGCAGGAACACAGGAGGAGCATCAGCAGGTGTGAATACGGGAGGGAGCAGCGCTACGACAATGACAGGCACAGCAGCAGCGGGAGGTCGGATGAGGGATGGAGGAGCAGGTCGAGGAGTGTTACTTCTATGGGCTTGAGGCTGGACCAGCGCGGACAGGAGTCGGCATCCACCGGATACTCCAGAACCTGGCAAGGTGGATGGAAGACAGCGCAGACGGGGGTTCGAGCAGTGAGTCAATAAACACACCACACTTTTTTAAATTGCAAAAATCATTTTAGAGTCATGATCAAGGAAAAAAGGGGCCGTCCCCGCGGTGCGTTAGGGTTCAAACTGACCGATTGGGAGGAAGTGACGGAACGTTGTCACGTCCGTCAGGCATCGCGGGTCTTACGGAGAGGTATGAAATATGTTGGTGCCGGGCGGCGGGTTTCCTTGGATAACGCAACGCCTGGTCGTGTATTACTCTACTTTTGCAGTGAGTTTGCTTGCGGTGGCCTTCTCGGAGGCTTGGGGCAATTCGGATTGGGGAACTGGTGAGTGCCTTCGGGCAGGTGTTGGGGGGTTCTACACTCGGTTGTCGAACCTCAGTCAGTTAAGGTAACGATTCAGAAGGATTGTTCAAGAACGTATGTGTCTGGTAAAGGAGGTTTGGTAAAGCTATATTCCCTGCTGGGGTCAGGGGTATGCCCGGTGTTAAGCGCATCATGCTACTTGGAGCTTTGCCCGGACATCCCGGGTGGCTTACTGGTAAAAGGGGACAGATCAGTGCTGTCACAATTCAATTACCGCAGGTGTTTGTTCGGAGGGGTTTAACAATGTTGGGTTTGAATCCCGGGCACTTTGGGACCCATTCTTCCCGGATGATGGCGGTAACAGAGGCGCCCTGCCTGGTTTTAAGTGACGACCTAGTAAAACGTTTAGGCAGGTGGGAGTCAGTACGGTTTAAGTCCTGTTTCATGCCAGGCTATTTGGTTTAATGGCTATGGACGTATGGGTTTGTGTTTGGGGCTATGCCTTGTCGCTAATTACCTTCGTTTCAGGTTTGGTGACATGGTTGGTGGGTCATTCTTATATCTAAGGGGCACAGATGGGAGCCGCGTTTCGGTTCAAACGCAACTGGGCTTTCCTTTGGAATTGGTGGAGCAGGAATGGTTTTGGTTTTCGGGGATTTTGGTGGCAAGACATTAGGGGAGAAAATTTTCCGGGAGGTAACAAGGGGTACTGTCCAGGACATTCTCGATATTGGCATGGTCCGGAAAAGGAATTGATCAGGTGGAGGCAGAGGGAGGTGGACCGGCTATGGGAGCTGGCCACGGGTGTGGTGGTGGTGCGGTCCGAGATGGTTCCTCGGTTACATTGGAGACATACTACGTACCCGGCCGTGGTAGCTCGGTGTCGAGGACGACTTAATAAAAAATTGATGGCGGTATTTATCAGATGTGGGGGCGGTGTAACAGTGAGACACAACGAATTGGGAGGAAAGCTCCCTGGGTACTCCAGGTGGGATGGGGTACATTTTCGGTGTGTGATCTGTTTAAATTGGGCCTTCAAGAAGGCATTCAACAGGCCTTATTCCGGTGTGGTGGGGGTCGCTCAGGAGTTATAGGTGTCAAGTCCTGAGCTGGGAATGGCCTGGTTAAATCGGAGGGTAGATGGAGGAGAAAGTGGGCATCCTGAGGTTTAGTGTGGATTGGGCAGTGTTGCACGTGGTTGGTAGGTTCGAGACCGTCGGTGGCTCCGAACCTGGGGGTGTGGTGGTGTCTTGGTACACCCTACACTGGAACTGGTGGGTAGCGGTGTCTTGGTACACCCGTACAATCGATATGGTGGGTAGCGGTGTCTTGGTACACCCCTACAATCGATATGGTGGGTAGCGGTGTCTCGGTACACCCCTACAATTTAACCTGGTGGAAATGTGGTCAAATTGGACTGCCAGTTTCTGTGTTATCATGTTATTTAGATTGTTATCTATTGTTATTATTGTGGGGTCATTGCTAGGGGTATGTTATGTATATGGGGGAGGTTAACATTATTAAGATTTGTTGGCAATGACCCCATTTGTAATTCCTTAATTATTTTATTAATAATTTAATAAAGCTGTGGACTTATTATTTCCAACAGTATAACCTGTTTCCGTGTTTTAATGGGGGTTTGGGTAAGGTTAGCGCATATGCCGGCAAATCCGACTGTGCGCCTGTCAAGTATTTTAGTGGGGTGCAAATAGAGTCAAAAAGAAGCGTCTAATAGTGTGCTTACAGCTCAGTGGTAAACATTCTTATTTTCTGGGTGCTAATCTGCTAAATAGTACATTTTGTGGCCTGCTCTTCATATCTAAGAGTCAAATAGAAGCGTCAAATACTGCGGTTACAGCGCAATTGTAAACATTCTAATTGTTTTGGTGCTAAACTGCTAAATAGTACATTTTGGGGCGTGCTCTTCATTTCTGAGAGTCAAATAGAACCATGTTCACAGCAGAGTGACACCCAACGCAGCTCGTGGGCATCACTGGAGCGTGGCTGGGGGGATAAGGAGAACACAGACGATACACCTCCCACAGAGGACAGCTTGTCCTTGCCTCTGGGCAGCCTGGCACACATGAGCAACTACATGCTGCAGTGCCTGCGCAATGACTGCCGAGTTGCCCACATTCTAACTTTTTCTGATTACTGGGTGGCCACCCTGCTGGATCCCCGTTACAAGGACAACGTGCCGCCCATAATTCCCTCACTGGAGTGTGATCGGATGATGCGCGACTACAAGCACACGCTGATAGACGCCCTGCTGAGAGCATTCCCAACTGACACCAGGGGCTCAGTGGAAGCACAAGGCGAAGGAAGAGGAAGAGGAGAGGTCGCCAACGCAGCTGGGGCACCGCCAGCACCTCAGAAGGCAGGGTTAGCATGGCCGAAATGTGGAAAAGCTTTGTCAGCACGCCACAACAACCAGCACCACCAGCTGATATGGGACGTCTTAGCAGGAGGCAGCATTTCAACAACATGGTGGAATAGTACGTGTGCACATGCCTACACGTACTGACTGATGGGTCTGCCCCATTCAACTTCTGGGTCTCCAAATTGGGCACATGGCCTGAGCTTGCCCTTTATGCTTTGGAGGTGCTGGCCTGCCCTGCAACCAGTGTATTGTCTAAACGTGTGTTTAGCACGGCAGGGGGCGTTATCACAGACAAGCACAGCCGCCTGTCCACAGTCAACGTGGACAAGCTCACGTTTATTAAAATGAACCAGGCAGGGATCCCACCAGACTTGTCTGTACCTTGTGCAGAATAGACATTTATACCGGCCTCACTCAGCCATTGTTATACTCAAGTGCACTTATTCTTTGTTTTCTTTTTTATATGTCCCAATATTTTGGGGGCTACCCCAAATAAAAAAAAATAAAACAAAAACCAGTGTTGGCTACCTCATCCTCCTCCTCCACTGCTGCGTCCACCTACACCGCCATGGTCACCGCCTCCTCAACCTAAGGGTCACGTAATATAAACTAGGTATACATTAGCAGAGGCTTGTGAAGGCCTTTTCTCCATGCATCACGAGTTGAGCTCAGTTTGAACAATGAAAGAGAATACCTTGCACTCCAACCCTCTCTCAAATGGATAATTCGGGTGATCCTCCTGACAGCCATGTTTTAGATTTTGATTTATGGTCTTCCAAAGCTAAAATCAAAGATTCCATCTAGTGCTATTTTATGGCTCAGCTGTATTTTACATTTTTATGTTATTTTAAGTGATTTCCCTATCCACATTTGTTTGCAGGGCACTTGTCCTACTCTTACCCCCATTTTACTTCCTTTTGCAGCTCTCTTGCCCTTTCCAGGAGTTTTTTAGAGGCATTTTTGTGGCCAAAAGTTTGGCCGAACCCGCCGGACCTGAACATCCAGGTGTCCGCTCAACTCAAATTTTCCCTAATTTGGACATTTGTTGAATACTGTCCAAACAAGTGATTTATTTTTTTAACCATTCAGCAGGTTCATATAATAACTAACATTAATATGTATTTACATTTTATTTTAACTCAGTGAATTATTACACTTTTATCTGATGTTACAATCGTTTGTTTCTCTGTTTGTATATTTTGAATGACATACAAGCAATGTTTAGGTCAAATTATATTCTTCTGTCAGTTTTCTCTATATTACTGAGAACATTTTTTGCCATCACACAATGCATTCTGGGTTTTCATATTCCAATTGTCTTCAGATAGCATAAAAATTAAATCAATTATTGTATGTAGTATTTTTATTTTACAAATTTAAATTAATCTTAGTCAGAAATATTTCCAGCAAATTTTTCTTTACCTCCAAATCCTGGTGGTACAAATCTCGAGACCAGAGCAGAACCGGTCAATAAAATAAATACACGACATGAATTAAGCAATCAAAATAATGTATTCACCTACAGAGTCTATAATACAAAAATGTTACCCTAAAATGTGCGTAACGGCTTCTGTTGATGTATCCAAAACATTTATTGCCTTCCTAAGATTTACCTTCAGAGAGAGTGTCCGGCAATCCTTGCGTGTCTGTGATGGAATTAGAAATGGTCCGTTGTTGCTGCAAACTCAAAGTCTTATATAGAAAAAAATGAAACAAACAAAAATCTCCACCCTAATTCCCTAACGCTATGAATTGAGTCATTACAGGAACATTTATTTAGAACAGAAGTGCTGAGCCCAAATTATAGATACCAGCAGAGTTTCAACATGTTAACCACATCCTTTCCACGCGTGATTGACTTCTAGAGACTGAGTGCCCTGTGTCGGTGGAGAAGGGTTTCCAAGGCAGTAAATAAAGATCTGTAGGTGTAAGAGAGCATCGGATTCATATCTCATATAGAATAGCTTGCACAGTGAGACACTAATGCTTTGTTGTTATATTATTATGTAATATGATCCTGTAGAATATTGCATATTCTATGTTTCTATTGATTATATATATGGATGTGTGGATTGACATAAGTAACAGATGGTATCAATAAGTCACAAGGCTTTCTTTGTCCGAGAGCTCTGGAATGTGGGTGTGGGGGTCTTGTCCTTATATGGCTAGAGTTATATGCTGACGTTAGTATTAGCACATCTAGATAGTAACAGAGGGACACGAGGTCGGTCTCACACTTGGCTTGGCTCTTGGCTCTGTACAACGATGTAACTCTCCCATCAGAAGTCCAGCAATTACCATCTGCTGTTGAATGTCCACTATCCTGTAACATCCTTTATTATGTATCCGTAACAAAGAATAAACCTGAAGAAACCGTAAGTCAGATTGCGTATTACTACTTTTCAATAATATAGACATATATTATTGTGGCGAGCATTTGGCCCAAGAATATATATACAAAAGACGTATATATATCAATCAACCGAAGAAATTAAGAAGAATCAACATTATTACATTGAACATCCATTCATCTAGTTTTTTACAGATCCTGCTGCACTTTCCCCATTTTAGTATAAATAATGTATTCTGAAAGCGTTGTGGCACAAGGTATAGTTTTCTTTGTATTTATTTATTCAGTTGTTCCCATCTCAGCTGAGTAAAGTAGCAATATTGCTCCTCTTTTTCCCCTCTGTTGGTCACTTCTCACTTGATCTGTGAATGAAATCAACATTTAGTGACTGTCCCTTTGCCATCAGTCATCTCTTTTCCAATTAGTCAACTCTCTTTTTTTTGGTTTCACAGAATTCTGACTCACAATTCATAATGAACGTACTCGTCCATTGTGTCTAACTGCCTTTGGGTTCCCTTTCCCTCAGCAGACAGCATATAATCCTTCCAGGCAGAATGTAGACACTGGCATAGTATAACCCCCCACACATGAGCCGAGGCTTAATGCTGGGTAAAGACTCAATTTTAATGGCACACAAGCATCAGTTTTATACAGTTAACAAACTCCTCCTCTGAGCCTGGGAGATAATTGAGTTAGAGGACGGGCTAAGCTCAATTATCTCCAGGACAGAAAAATACAGTCTTTTTAAAACACCCCATAAGTACCCCAGGAATACAGTGAAACCCCACAAAAGTACATTGCTGGATAGCTGGTGTGGCGAGACCAATCTGCCTTTAGACTATGGCCCCATGTTGAAACGCTTGATTTTCCCCTGCAAAGACACAAAAGCCGGGTCATTTGGTGCTTTCCCTGTTTGAGCAGTGATACCCCAGATAGCTATGCCATGGAGCCCATTCGTATAATGAAAGACTATGGGAAAGACTTTGGCTCCATGGCAATTGAACTGTATGTGTGTGCTCTGAGCGCCATTCAGTAATAATGTGCGCTCAGATCTGAGCTATATGGGGATATGTTGAATGTACCTGTTTTGTGCAATGGCTGCACAGTTATATATTTTTATGTGTTTTATTGTCTTTTGCTGCCATGTGTTTAATGGAGTTTTGCCTCTGTCCTTGGAGATAATTGGATTACTTCCCAATTATCTCCAGGATAGAAGACTCTGTAGAACTGTTTTTGGGCAGGAAAGCCATGCTTCATTTGGTCACAAAGGACTACGATCTATCTTTTGAACCACTGGACCAATTTGGATGATTTTGACATATGTTTGTATTTGGAGTATGCTGATTCTGAAAATGTAATTTATGTGAATGTGATGCATACTTTTCAAGTTATGAATAATGTGGAAAATTTTTATTTCTCTGCTTGTTATAATTACATTACCCATTGTGTAAGGTAATTGTATCACAGGCAGAGGGGAGGATTTTGTGTGGGAGTGTCTGAGTGTATTGTATGTGTTTATTGGTTGTGTTCCAAAATCCTGTGGGTGGTACTAATGTGTAAGAATGTGTACATAAGCACAATAAACCCACAACTCTGACTGTTCCTGCTTGACCCTCAAAACGGAGCCTTGTCTCGTTCTTGGGGGGATTTATTGTATGCTGTTCCAGTTTGACTGCTAGGAGTGTAAACCTATTCGTATGGTTTTTCCTATTCGGCTGTTTACGGCATTCATATGGTTTCCTGTTCGGCGGATTGGTGTTCTGCAGTAGCTGTGCCTGTGTCTCTGGAAGGGAAGATCTACTAAACGGCAGTTTAACCCTTTTATGCCCTGCGGTGCCGTTACAGCTGGGATCTGGGTGAACAATATATCCAAAAGTCACCCAGATCCGTTCGGTAGTTTGTCTGTACCCTCGCAGAGAAATTTTGACTGATCTGCCACGAGGAGTATGCCGAAAACAGTTCCAGAAGAAATGTGGAAAGAGCCGGTCTCTGTTCATGGGGTTTTTGCATGAACACTATAAGAGTAAGACGAATGCTGGTTCATGGATAATGCTCCCCTCGTCCGGTAGTTTATAATTACCGAACGGCGTCCATGGGCACGAAATAGTATGCAAATGAGCCATGCGTGGAAGTAGACCGGTGTTCAGGAGAGTGGCTGGCCGAAATTAGTTCCAGGCACTCGACGACCAAGTCCAGCTGATAGTGTTTGTGCGTTAAGATGGCCGCCATTCATTGTTCTCACCCAGTACAGCGTTCAACGGAATCCCCTTGATATGGTTTAAGAATGATACATAGTGTCAGTAGTTTAATTGGTGTTCCAAGGTGAGTCTCCATTCGGTTACCGAACGAATAAGCGAACAAAGTGGAGAAAACAAACCAAATTTCCGAAATAAGTCCATAGTGATAGGGTTTTCCTTCACAGTGTCAATTCAAACAATCACTGAATCAGCCCAAATCACAATTCACAACAAAGCAAATCTCCAAGTCTACTGCTGATACTCCAATGTTTGTAAAAGGAAGACAAATGTCCAGTGATCATTACACAGTGATGGCCAGCGTTTAGATGTTCTGAGCATCTTGGGAAATGTAGTCAAAAACATTGCGGTTGCCAAACCAAGCCATCCTTGCCATATAATAATCCTCAGTGTTGATGTTTTACACAGTACAGTTGGCTCTACATGACAATGCCTATGTGTTATGCCATCACATTAAATTATCCTTTTTAATCCCTTTGTTTGCTGCTTCAGCTTTAGAGGCTTCAAAAGAAGGAGAGCTTCTGAGAGCCTGTCTTGGGTTCCTCCGTCAATCACTCCAGACGACACTGCACAGGTTGATTGTCATCCACTGCGGATGACACTGCACAGGTTGATTGTCACAAATGCTGAACATTATTCTAAAGCCGTGATCGATACCATTGGGTAGCACCAATGGAACTGTTATTCTTTACGTTACCCTAATCTCATTGCTTTTGGATATTACTGCATCTTTTGGAGATTCACTTAGATTTTTTGTTCTGGAGTTTTTTTTTCAGCCTATGTGAATGTTGTCTTTGGTTTTTCATTGTGAAGCACTTATTAGGATTAAATATTGCTGAATGATACTTTGTAAACTCTACCTGATATTAAGAGACTTGCTGAATTTTTATGGTCATTGAGTGATGCCAATCACATAATTAAGAAATTGCCTCCTTGGAGGGGAGTGCAATTTACAACTGAGTAGATACTTTGTGTGGCCGGAGGAAGGGGCCCTTTTTATACCTATTGGGGGCCCTTCCACCCTGCCAGTCTCTCTCTGCTTTGTCCTCCGGTTTGAAGAATGGATCACCTATGGAATGGAATAAGCTTTTTTTGTTATGCGTGAGGAGGTGTGTCTGTATGCATGTGCGTTAGTAGGCTCCCAATTTTGGTTCCAGCTCAGTTAACTCCTTTGGGGTAGGAATGACTGTCTGAATGAAGATTTTAAATGTTGTATGTACTGTTTAGTATGGCGCAGTAATTTAGAGATGATGCTGCCCCCCCTCCCCCTCTTTTTTTCTTCTCTTTTTTTGCATGTGGTTATAGGCCCTTTATATAGACAAAACAGAATGTTGTATATATATATTATAAGCTGATGGCTTGCTTTTTGGCTAGAATCGGTTCTCTTTTTTTTTCAAGAGTTTTGGTTCTACTAAATGCGGATTGTATCATGGTAACCTATTATAATACTTTTTTTTATGACCTTGTAATTTTGGCATGTGGTTAAAGGACTTCAATATGGACAAAAAAGAATAATGTATATTTACTATATGTTAAGGGTTTGGTTTCTGTAAGCGGAAATTTGTCACATCCTGCCATGTTCTGTGGAGATGTCTGGCTTTGGCTTCTGGTATCCAGTACTCTTTTTACAATTCTTGTTTAGTTTTTCTTGGTTTTTCGGTTTTCTATTCCATGGCTGGTTTTCTTTATGCTGGGTTTTTCTGGGTTCATTCCTGTAACCCATACATGGGATTCCCAGTGTCAAGGTTTCCTTTAAATGTTTGTTTTATGTTGCCACACCTGTTTGTTTTCCATTTTCCTTTTGTTTCAGTCTGGACCTGCAGCAGTGTTTCGAGTCTCTGCCCTTTCTTGCAGGTAAGTGCTATTGTGGTTTAGTATGGTTCTTTTAGCGAACATTAGGTGTGAAGAAATCCCTATTTATTCATCTTAGTTCACCTTTATTCATTCGGTAGATCTAACTACCGAACAAAGACCACCCTCCTGGCTCATTCAGCTTCAAAGGATTCGTCAATTAACCCCTCTATCTGTGCGGCCAGCGTTTGTACTACCGAACGCCACGTGGCTGAGAAAACCGCGGCCATCTTTTTTCAGCCGAACAAAGGCAGCGGGACTTGGTCGTCGAGTGTCTGGAACTAAAATCGGACATTTGACTTCCCGAACACTGGTCTCCAACAGACGAACGCTGGAACTATATTTCCCGAATAGCTAGAAGAGCGCTATTCGGTACTTTTGTGCATTCGACAGAGGGGAACAATCGCTGCTGAGAGCCAGGGGGATCCATTAAGTATTTTATTCGTTTTTTTCCCCTTTACTGAAGTGACCGGCAAAACCACCCAAACTCATGGAACTATTTTGGGCAGCCAGCCCACAGTTAACCGGTCACAGAAGACTTCCACCTTTTTTGAGAACCCCTGAACCGATCTGGGTGAAATTTGAATAAGTTGGTCACCCAGATCGGGGCTATCAGGGGACATATTATTTGTGGGGATACCTCATGTATAAAGGGGTGTTCCAGATATTGGGGAAAATTTAGATTTTTCTGCCTGGAGATAATCAAATTATTACTTTATCAGACTTGATTATCTCCAGGACTAGGGGAGGGAATTGTATGTGTGTACTGGGTGTATTTTATGTTTTTACTGTGCCGGATTGGTTAATCTCTGTCCCTCCCTGTGGGATGTCCCCTTGCATGGGGACTTGCATAAAAGCCTGTGTGTGATCATTAAAGCTCAGTTCAGTTGTACCCTTCTTGTCTTTGGCTGATGTTTGGGGATTTGTGTGCTTTATTAAGGGAATTATCTTATGAAGGCATTTGGATTACTATACAGTTCGTCTGTTTCATCTACCAAACGGAGAGCTATATTCACTGATGCTCTGGCGGTTCGGGAGGAAACTACCGAATGAGGATTACATATACCAGGTTTAAATTGAGAGATACTATTTGTTGTTTACACCACTTCTCTTATAAAGCGCAGAATTTAAAAAACTAGAGAAACACCGAACAATCAAGCTTAGAAGGATCACCAATTTATGTTTTCCGGATTTGAGTTGTAACTCTTCAGGCAAAGAGAGCGCTTCACCCTATTACTCTTCAACTTCAAGATAAGCATTTAAGATATCGCTGGGGCTTCCCCTTCAGCCTGACGGCTACCAAAGAGGGCAAACAATATTCAGTGGTTTCTCGTGACTCGTGAGGCTATTCCAGGGTTTATTAAGGCATTAGATTTATCACCAGTAGAAATCGTAGACTGGTTTGGAAAAGTACCTAAACCTCTTTCATTTCAGATCCCTGAGTAATCCTGGGAAGTTCATTCCCATTAGAGAAAAAGTCGTTTAACACCATTTCAGTTAACTCCTTTGGGAAAAGGTTTATCGGTCATGACTGTCCGAACGGGGATTTAAAATAATGATTTCTATTTATTTTGTATGATTTCTGTAAGCTGAAAAAGATCTAATGCCCTAGAACTGGTGTTTCTCTTTCCCCCCCTTAATAATAAAGTCCATATCCAGGCATTATAAGACTTTGAAAGAGATGTTTATAATATATAGGAGTGAGGGGAGGAGGCAGAGGGACTAATCAAACTCTGTAGATAGTCAATCATCGCCCTATAGTTAAGGCTGGCACCTCCACAGGGTATATCAAGAGGGTTGCAGGTTGTTCCCCTCTTTGTGTTTTCAGGGCTGATTTACATATTTGGAACCTAACATTAAGCTTTCTTTTTATGACGGTTTTGTTATTTTTTGCATCTTTTTGAATTTCTGGGGGCGATGTATATTTGGGATGTTATTTTTATGTAAATATTATGGTTCTGTTCCTTTTTTTTTTTTTACCCTCCTCTGGCTCGGTGCTCTCTTAATTCCCATCTCTGGCCCCGCGACTCAAGTAGAAGTGTGTGTGTGTGTGTGTGTGTATGTGTGTGTATGCATGTGTGTGTATGCAAGCAAAGATATATAATCTCTTAACATATAAAGAGGTTTAACTGTAAGAAACATAACTAACGACCAAGGATGATATTAAACAAATGTATAATCCATGGTCATCGAAATGCTTTAGGCTCTTATATTTAAAAAAAAAAAAAATAGGGAGACGTTATTAACAAAGATTAACAATCTTGAACAAGAGCATAAAGTCTCTCTCACACGAACTATTGGAAGAATTAAAATGTATTCAATCAAAATATGAAGGACTGATGCAACATGAATCTTATAAGGAATACATGTTTACAAGAAAATCTTGCTTCTTTCTAGTTAATAAGCCAAGTAAATTATTAGCCCAAGATCTTTAAGAAAGATCACAAAAGATCGTTTATTCCTAAAATTAAGGACAAATTATTGGTATACTTCAATGGACATTGCCCGATTTGCCCAGATTTTATCTAGCTCTACATAACATTCATAATAATAATAATAATAATAATAATAATAGAAACATAGAATGTGACGGCAGATAAGAACCATTCGGCCCATCTAGTCTGCCCAATTTTCTAAATACTTTCATTAGTTCCTGGCCTTATCTTATAGTTAGGATAGCCTTATGCCTATCCCACGCATGCTTAAACTCCTTTACTGTGTTAACCTCTACCACTTCAGCTGGAAGGCTATTCCATGCATCCACTACCCTCTCAGTAAAGTAATACTTCCTGATATTATTTTTAAACCTTTGTCCCTCTAATTTAAGACTATGTCCTCTTGTTGTGGTAGTTTTTCTTCTTTTAAATATAGTCTCCTCCTTTACTGTGTTGATTCCCTTTATATATTTAAATGTTTCTATCATATCCCCCCTGTCTCGTCTTTCCTCCAAGCTATACATGTTAAGATCCTTTAACCTTTCCTGGTAAGTTTTATCCCGCAATCCATGAACCAGTTTAGTAGCCCTTCTCTGAACCCTCTCTAAGGTATCAATATCCTTCTGAAGATACGGTCTCCAGTACTGTGTACAATACTCCAAGTGAGGTCTCACCAGTGTTCTGTACAATGGCATGAGCACTTCCCTCTTTCTACTGCTAATACCTCTCCCTATACAACCAAGCATTCTGCTAGCATTTCCTGCTGCTCTATTACATTGTCTGCCTACCTTTAAGTCATCAGAAATAATCACCCCTAAATCCTTTCCTCATATGTTGAGGTTAGGACTCTATCAAATATTCTGTACTCTGCCCTTGGGTTTTTACGTCCAAGATGCATTATCTTGCACTTATCCACATTAAATGTCAGTTGCCACAATTCTGACCATTTTTCCTATTTTACCTAAATCATTCTCCATTTGGCTTATCCCTCCTGAAACATCAACCCTGTTACATATCTTAGTATCATCAGCAAAAAGGCATACCTTACCATCAAGACCTTCTGCAATATCACTAATAAAAATATTAAAGAGAATGGGTCCAAGTACAGATCCTTGAGGTACCCCATGGGTGACAAGCCCAAGCTTTGAATATACTCCATTGACTACAACCCTCTGTTGCCTGTCACCCAGCCACTGCCTTACCCATTCAACAATATTGGAATCCAAACTTAGATTGGAGTTTATTGATAAGCCTTCTGTGTGCAACAGTGTCAAAAGCCTTACTGAAATCAGGGTAAGCAATGTCTACTGCACCCTAAACTATTATTTTAGTTACAGAATCAAAAAAATCAATAAGATTAGTTTGGCATGATCTCCCTGAAGTAAACCCATGTTGTCTCTGATATTGAAATCCATGTATTTTTAGATGGTCAACAATCCTATCCTTTAACATGGTTTCCATTACTTTCCCCACTACTGAAGTAAGGCTTACTGGCCTATAGTTGCCCGACTCCGCCCTACTACCTTTCATGTGAATGGGCACAACATTTGCTAACTTCCAATCTTCTGGGACTACTCCTGTTAACAACGATTGGTTAAATAAATCTGTTAATGGTTTTGCTAGTACACCACTAAGCTCTTTTAATAACTTTGGGTGTATTCCATCAGGTCCCATTGACTGACTAATTTGTCTTTACTTTTGAAAATTGAAATAGAACCTCTTCCTCTGTAAACTCACATGCAATAAATGACTTATTTGTCCTTTTTCCTAACTGAGGTCCCTTTTCTTCATTTTCCTCTGTAAATACTGAACCAAAATATTAATTGAGGCAGTCAGCTAGACCTTTAGCCTCTTCTACATACCTTCCTTCTTTTGTTTTTAACCTAACTAATCCTTGTTTTACTTTCCTTTTCTCATTTACATATCTAAAAAATGTTTTGTCCCCTTTTTTACTGATTGTACTATTTTCTCTTCTGTGTGAGATTTGGAAGCTCTTATAACTTGCTTAACCTCTTTCTGCCTAATCTTATAGATCATTCTGTCTTCCTCACTCTGGATTTTTTTTATAATTATTAAATGCTAACTTTTAGGTTTTTACTAGTTTGGTCACATCTGCGGAGTACCACAGTGGTTTCTTGAATTTTTTGCTTTTACTGACAAGCCTAATGCAATTTTCTGTTGCCTTCAGCAGTGCAACTTTTAAATAATCCCATTTCTCTTGGACTCTATTTAAATTGCTCCAATCTGATAATGACTCCTTTACACATAATCTAATTTTAGAAAAGTCTGTTTTTTTAAAGTCTAAAACTTTTTGTTTTTGTGTAGTGTGACTCAGTCACTGTTCTTATATTAAACCACACTGACTGATGATCACTGGATCCTAAACTTTCACCTACAGTAATACCTGATACCAAATCTCCATTTGTTAACACTAAATCTAGTATGGCCTCTTTACGAGTTTGCTCCTCAATGACTTGTTTTAGAGACATTCCCAGTAGGGAGTTTAGAATATGTGTGCTCCTGGCACAAGCAGCTAATTTTGTTTTCCAATTCACATCAGGAAGATTAAAGTCACCCATGATTGTCATTTTAGCTATTTCCTCAACTAGTAGATTATCTAACTCTTCATTTTGTCCTGGGGGCCTATAAATCACACCTACACGAGTTACTGTGTGATTACCAAATTCTAACTTAACCCAAACAGACTCTATGTTCGCCTCACTAACTTTTATTAGGCTAGATTTTATGCTATCCTTCACATACAGGGCCACCCCTCCCCCTTTCTTTCTATATAAAGAGTACCCTGGTATTGCTATGTCCCAGTAATTTTTCTCGTTATACCATTTCTCAGTAACAGCGACTAAATCTACATTATCAGTTGCTATTGTTGCCACAAGTTCATGGATCTTATTCCCTAAACTGCAAGCATTTGTAGACATGACTCTAAGCTTGTCATTTTTTTTACACACTTGCCAAAGGCACCTTCTGTCCTTGTTTTGGGGGGCAATTGGATTGATGTTTTATCACCATTTTGCCCTCCCCCTCCTAGTTTAAATACATCCTAGCAAAACCTCTGAACTGCTCACTGAGAACATTTGTTCCCTTTTGAGAAAGATGCAAAGCCATCTTTTTTGTACAGTTTATTTCCATTCCAAACAGAGCTACCATGAGAAATAAAGCCAAATCCTTGCTCCCGACACCATTCACCTAGACACAAGTTAGTCCCTAATACGCATCCGCCTGTCGTTCTGAGTGTTATGCACAGGCAGAACTTCGGAGAATGACCGTGTGGAAGCAACCCGCCGTATATCATTGGCAAAAACACTAAAAACTTTCTTAACCTATGAAACCTCATTGCAAGCCAAGTCATTTGTCCCTAGATGGACAAGTACATCCAATTCCCCTTCCTGCTTTGCTCGCTTAACAATATTACAAATACGTCTCCTATGTTGAATGTATTGCTTATCTGTGCCTCTCCCTCTCCCCCTTTTTCCTGTCCTATTGTTTCCCCAACAGAGCGTTGTCCCAGGGACACTGCAAGATCAGTTTAAACTAGCTGCTCTGTACCTCCTCAATCTCCCATCAGCCCTTGCTATTGTCTGACCCCACCCTTCCTTGTACTATAGTAATCTATGTAATTTATTGTATATAAATAAGGCTGTTGGGGGTTTAAATGTTTGTAAAAATTGTAAGTGCTGGTTTGCATTAAACAGAACTACTGTGAGCAGTATCTCCAGGAAGACATCTCACAAGACCACCATTGTCCATCTCCACACCTCTTATGATGGAATCCCCCAACAACTGCTTTCTATTAGGCCTCACCATAGTCTCCAAGCCTGTCTCCACAACACCACTACCCTCAGTACCTGAGCCTGTTTTCATAACACCATTACACTCTGAAAGTGCAGAAAATGAATTATGTAGAGCAACAGACTGTGCAATATGCCTTTTATCCACAACTCTAAGTCTGCCAGATCCTACAGTAATCCATCTGCCTTTCCTAGCATGTCTCTGCCGCAGTGGCTTTGCAGCAGTTCCAGTCTGAGTTTCTTCACCAGATAATTTACAAATCTCAGACTTCAAAAATACAATCTCCTGCCGCAAAATAGAGAACCGTCTACAGATTAGACAGCATCCAAATCTCCAAAAAGTGGAATGTGAAACAAAAGCATAGCAACTATTACACTGAACTAAATCTACCATTTCCGTGAGGTGAATAATTTAAATCAAACAAATCTTAAATTTTTAGTCCTCCTGAATGCCTCAGATTACCTCCAGGTTATCTCCAGAATATCTCCAACTACACACTTAGAAGCAGCACTCTCCAGAATATCTCCAACCACACACTTAGAAGCAGCACTTAGATGAAGCAACCAAGCTATATTAGCCAAGCTAATGACCACAACCCGTATATAACTCCTAAAATCACCACCCACTAGGAATGTTCTAATATCACCCCCCACTAGGAATAATACTAATACGGAGAGAAAAGAGGTAATTATTAATTTTTAAAAAATGAGAGTTCTCCTGGGGAAATATCAAGAAGTAAGGCTGACAGTAGAGCAAAGAAGGGATTTAGATGAACTATTTACAGCTCAGGACATAGAAAAAAGTGATTGAGATCTCTCCGGCGGGAAAAGTCCAGGCCCTGATGGCTTCTCCATTTTATACTATAAGTTATTTAAGAAAGAACTTGCTCCATTTTTTTAGGCAAGATGTTCAATGATATACTAATGGGGGACGTACTTGAAAATAGCATTGTTATTTCTTTGATTTTAAAAGAGGGGAAAGACTCAGATAATTGTGAAAGCCATGGTCCGATTTCTTCATTAAATATTTACCTAAAGTTAAAGACTAAAGTGTTAGCAGATAGATTTGTGGCGAAATTAACATCGCCACTTGTACTTGGAGAGGCCTGCTTGCCAGCCACTTGCACCATGATTATGGGCCCTGCAAAAAGACATGTGACTTCCAGGGAAAAAACAAACCACTGAACCGATCTGGGTGATTTTTGGATATGTTTATCACCCAGATCAGGGCTATCCGAGGATGTGGGGTTTCCATGGATCTTGGGGGTACTTTGGGGTGATTGTAAACTGTGTATTTTTCTGTACCTGAAGATAATAAATTATATCTCAGACACAGAGGAGGAGTATGTTGAATGTATTGCTTATCTGTGCCTCTCCCTCTCCCCCTTTTTCCTGTCCTATTGTTTCCCCAACAGAGCGTTGTCCCAGGGACACTGCAAGATCAGTTTAAACTAGCTGCTCTGTACCTCCTCAATCTCCCATCAGCCCTTGCTATTGTCTGACCCCACCCTTCCTTGTACTATAGTAATCTATGTAATTTATTGTATATAAATAAGGCTGTTGGGGGTTTAAATGTTTGTAAAAATTGTAAGTGCTGGTTTGCATTAAACAGAACTACTTGACTCTTTCTTGAAGCCTTGGCTCATGCTTGGGGGGATGGGATAACTACACTCTTGGGGATTGCTATATCACAATACTCCCCTGAGTATAAGCTTCCTGGTTCCTGCTCTCTGGATTTAGGAGAGGTTCACCCACTGGAAGATGGATCCTGGCTTTGGATCCAGGGTGGGTGAGAGACGGCGAGACCCCGGCGCAGCTGCATCGCTGGAAGTGGGGTCTGCAGTGCGGATGGTGTCGGTTGGATTGCTTGGAGTCCTCGGCAAGCACTAGGAGCATCGATTGGTGGAGGTACTCGGTCAGAGTGCCAGCGGTCCGTCACAAGATTAAATAATATTGTTCCAAGTATTGTGCATCAACACTCAAAAATAGCACCGCTAAAGTTATAGATATAATGGCTTTTATCCAAAGAAAAAACATTCCACTTGTTTTAACAGGAGTCGAGAAAACATTTGACCTCGTAAATGGGCTATGTTGTTTAAGACATTAGAATAGGTTGGGTAAAGGCCATTTATGATTTTCATAAGGCAAGAGTGAAAATGAATGGGTTTGTCCAATTTCTTTACTACGGTGTATTTTGTCTTTGGAACCACTCCTGAATGCATTTAGACCTAGTAAGATATAGGTTATTGAGATTCAAACAAAACCGTATAAACCGGCAGCATATGTGGATGATATTCTATTGACACTTGCAAATTCAATGAGGTCTTAGGAAATGACTTTTTATGAAATTAGTAGCTAACTTCCAATTCAGATTCAACTTTCTTTGTCACTGTACCATGTAATTACAAGGGCAATAAAACACAGGTCAATTCATTTACATGTGAAGTATTAACTTGTTTTATAAAGCAGAGGATGATAGGGAACAGATTTTGGGAACTTTCCATTTGAAGGGAGTTAATGTCGCTTTAAATTACCCGAAGATTAAGTTACCATATAATCTTAAGGATTTGTATGATTTGAACTTTTCTTCTTTGATTAAACAAATTACTAAAGACTTAAAAAGTGATTTATTATATATTATGGTAAGGTTGGGTGGCGGTGTATCGATAACCCTCTCTCCCAAGCTGCTCTGTATGTTC